GTAATTTATAATGACTGCAATCAAGACATTTGATATACAGTGTGGTGTTGCAGATATCTTTCATCTAACACAGCCCATATTACTCAAAAGGCTGAGCCTGAGGGATATCTTCCCAAACTGCCGTTTCCTCATTGGACTGCTGAATGCACAGGACTTTCACACTGAGTCAGCACTGAAATCCCCCATGCAGTACTTCTGTGCAAAGAGCTGGGCTCTTCAGCCTGAGGAGACGGTGCTGTGCTTTTCTCTGAAGGAAGTTGATTTATACACATTTTTCCAGTAGGTTTTCATGAGCTTTTTAAAACCTTCTTTCCTTCCTTAACATGCATAAACAGATACCAGGATGAAAAAAGCCCAAAACTTTCCCAGTTCTGGGCAATTAAGTCCTGAAGTAACTAAATTCTTCCTGCTTCTAAAGGATCACATGAATTTCATTCCAACAAATTTGAAATCAATGTAGAATCTGGTTCCTAATCCAGATTTTGACTACTGTGTCAGAAATAATCAGGGACTGCACAGTGATTGTACATATGATTGTAATTAGAGAAGATTGCATGCCATGGACTCTAAGCCGTAGTTCTAGCTTCAGTAACAACTGACAGGGAACTGTCTGGACAGATGCTATCTTCAGTTTAATAAGGAATGAGATTTGGTCCTTTGTTTTTTCTTATTGCTTTCCTTCAGAACTTTAAAGATATTATGTACAGACATTGAAAGAGGAGCTTGGTAGGAATTAGAATTAGGCTTGGTGTAACATAGAAGATGTTTTACTCTTCAATACTAGGGATGGGTACAAAAACCTGCTGAGAATTTTTGGATGCTGTGTAATCTGAATTGGCCATAAGAAGGGAATTTGGAAAAGTCCCTGCTTAGCAAAAATAGCTGAGCCTCCAGCTTCTAAAAATGTGGCCCCTTCAAAGAGATCTTAAGCTGGGCAACAAAATCACTGATCTAGTTTGAAAAAATCTCATGCAGCAATACTTTCAGAGGGAAAAAATAGCAATTCAAATAGCAAGTGTTATCCCATAGCTGAAAATTCCTGAGAAATTCTTGGACAATATCTGTGGGAACATTTGTTATGAACAAAAATGCAATTGAAGCAATTTGTACCATGAAGTCAGACAGGAAATCAGGCTAATCCTTTATGAAATTATGTGCGAGCTAGGCTGTCTAAAACTCACTAGAGCAAAAGAGACAGAAGAAAACCAAGCCAGAATGAGATACTGAAAGGTAGTGAAACTGGGTCACTGTCCTACATTACACAGTAGCTACATGGAGCTTTATCTATCATCCCACAGCAACCCAAGCGACATGAACAAAGGACTTTGTCAGCTGCAGATCTCCGAGAAACATCCAAGAAATGCAGCTGCACAAATCATAATGCAAACTTTATGAGATAAATGCTGAGGAAGTTAGAATAAATTGCCCAAGAAGAGAGGAAGGATGAGCCTTTTGTCCTGACTCTGCATCATTGCAAGATCACAAATTCCAATCAAGGAAATCTGAAACTCATTAAAAAAAAAAAAAAAAAGGTACAATATGAATAGGATGAAAGATCTCTGAGTGGAAAAGCCATGAAGTAACTAGATAGATACGATATGCCAGCAGGAAAGAAGAGGTGCTTAATTAGTAAATGGAAATATGATTGCAGTAGAAAACAGAATCTGATTTTGACACTATAGTCTCAAAAACTTTTGCTATGAGCAATTAAGAGACAGGATACAGACCTCTGGAGCTGATAGGACAAGCATATATTGATTGATATATCCTTCTCCTGGATATCTGGAGCTTCAATTCCATTCCAATTAGTTCAACCAATGGCATTTATATATTTTTACTGAAGTAAGCACATGCCTGCCTCTTATAGGCATAGTTATAGAACAATTATTCTTGATCTGGTATATTTGAATGCTGACCACGTCATTTTTTCTAGAGTCCATTTCAATTTATCTCGCAACATCTACTCAAATACATAATGACCAGCTACTTTATCAGCTTTAAATTTGCCATATTTTCTGAAGAAAATTATTCTTGATTTATCAGTGGAATCTGAGACAAGAAATGTTCCTGAAGCCATCAGCATGAATTCTAAATGAAAATAGCTTGTTTTCAGTACAACTAGCAGTGCAAAAAAAAGAAAGTCCATTAGATACTGGAAGTATCATCTTTCTAAAAGCAGTAGATTTTTATTTCTGTAATGTATGAACACTGCACATCTCAGGGAAAATTGCACTGGAACCGTGGGTGGTTCCAAACTGCTGGAAACTTTACAATGGCTTTTATGTTTAAACATAATTTAGCAGCTGTTAAAGGTCAGCACAAATCCTGTACTTTATCAGTGTAAATGATGTCTACAACTGCCAAGAAAAGAATGCAATAAATAATGCAGTGATTATTTTCATTTTTTTTTTCTTTTTTTCCTTCAAAAATGAAAAGGATCTCTTAAGCAGTTTGCTTTTCTCCTTACTTGAAATTGACAAAGTAAAACACTAATTAAATTCCTGATACCAGAAATTTACTTACAGGGATGACACGTTTTGTACACAAAGCAAGTAAAACATCTGACACACTGTATAGTGCCAGGTGCAGTTAAGAATGTGTAATACAAGTCTGCATCTAGAGGCTAAAATAACCAACAAACTTGCTGCAATGTTTCATTATCAATTTTATTTCCTACCATACACCAAATGTACAGCACAGAACACAATTTCGTTGCTTTGATGTAAGAAATATTAATTGTATGAAGAAACAGTATACAAACTACTCCAAATTAAAAAATGCATACATCATTGCTCTTTACAAAAGATCTAATTTACAGTGTAGCTCATAAATGCATTTAAGCACAAAAAAAAAAAAGAAAAATGAAAAGAAAAAAAAATCAGTGCACATTACAAAACACATCAAGTACAAGGGAGGCAAATAAATACAAACATACTTCACAGAACATCCTGAGCAAACAACCAAACACAGATAAATTAACCTGAAGCCAGAGTAAATCATAATAATAAATACATAGGTAAGAGATTTTTTTTTTACTTAAATAAAATATATAACAAATTTGTTAAAATATTTAGTAAATTAAATTTTAGTCTTTGTAATGAGTGAACTCATTTTGTATGCATTTAACAAGTATAACAAATGTTCGCTTTTTGATTTTTTTTCAGCGAGTACAGTAACTTTAATAGCAAATTTGTTTGGTGTCTTCCTATTTATATTAGACAGCACGTATGGTAGCTTTTGAAAAACTGATTTAAAAATAAACACAGCTCCTAAGAACATACATTTCCCCCGTCTAAACTAGGATTGGAGAGTTGAATCAACTCTCAAACAAAAAAGCAAGCTCCACCTAATGCAGAACAGTGACCACAGTGCATGAGAGTTTACTCACTTCTGAATAGTTCTTTTGTGCAGGAACAGTAATAATATAATTGTATATGTCAAGCCTGTGAATGCCATCATATTCAATCTAAATATAAATGAGGCTAATAAAAATAAACACTTTCATTATAGCACGGAAAAATTAAACGCACGCTAGATCCATGTATACATTTACACTGAGGCACATATGCACATGAGGTGTGTGTGCATACAAAAAAGGCAGTTTAGCTGGTTGTTTATACCTTTTTCTTAAAAAAAATAAATATAAAAAAAACTTCTGAAACAATGCTTAATTACTTACAATCCCTGAAATAGACATTGCCTCGGTTATAGCAACCGCTAATTTCTGACGGATTCAGAAACTCCAAGCCCAGGCTAACCAGCGAGGGGGGCACACATGAGCTGCTCTGAACAGCTGCATGTCCCCTCCCCTGTGCCTGGACGTCCTGTAGTGCCTGGTACCCTACTGAAGGACTGGCAACCGACCCAGTATCAGACTAGTCTTGGTGAATAAGGATGGGAGAAACCAATCACTGTGTTGCTACCGTTCGTTCAGTGAGAAGGGCAACACCACTGAGCTGGAGTAATATTCCCCTCCAGACTGCTGCCTTCTTCACTGCTGTTAAGTTCAAACCAGTATTGAATGCCATTTCAGGGGAGATGTGTTTGATTCATTATGTACAAATTCTTGTGTGCTTGGGATGTGTTTGCATTTTTCGGTTCCAAACCCATAGCAATACTGGTCACTTTATTAAAATCTCAACGTATCGTACTAAAAGAGTACCAGTCCTATCAAATTATCGTTCTTGTTTAGAGATAATTGTCATTTCCCTCTGTAAGCTAACTCTGAAAAAAACTGCAGTGGTAAAATAAATCTGAAGTTCTCTTGAAACATTTTAAATAATCATTCGCATAGGCTAAATCACACAGCCAAGTCAAGTGCTTTGCTGATTGCTATATTTCATTATTGCTAACGTATTCTTTAACACACTGTTTTCCAGCATACTGTGCTTTTAAGAGCCCGAGTTCCCCACTAGTGGGCACCATTTATCTTCTCAGTCCATGCATCTTCACATCTCATGTTACTGCAAACCCATTTTTGATAAAAAGCCATTATAAAAAAGCAGGATGTGAGGAAAATAAAACTAGAACCACAGTTCCGTCATTTGTTACTCATAGCTTTTTTTCTTCCTGTACAAACCCAGCAAGTTATTTAATTTACAGTATAACTTTCAGTCTATTTAAAATCCCATTGGAAAATAAATTAATAAACACATTTGTAAAAATATGGCAGGCCGCAAAAATGCTGTTAAAAGATAAAAAAAAAAAAACAAACTCTTTGATTAGAAATAAATAAAAAATATAAAAAATAGTCACACACACTTTTTACATTCACTTTACAAAAACCGAGTGCAAAAGAAGAAAAAAAAGAATTGTACTGAAATAAATATAATATACTAACAGAGTGCATTGCTGCTAATACAAATAGTCTGTTGTGTTTTTATTCTTTTTTATGTCAGCTGGGAAAAAATTAGTGCAATGTTGCAATTGTAAATGCAGCATGGCAACCTACACCCCTTAGCAGTACATGAACTCCTAACAGATCCATCTGGAGTTTACTGCTGTTAAGTAATTTCTGTTGCCCAGCAGCTTTCACATCCTACACATGGATGCCCTTCACTGCCTGTTTGATACTTTCCAGCAGAGCTTTGCATTCGGGGGAATAGTCCCGTTCCAGATTGCTGTACATGTCTGTGAGTGTATTTACATATGCTTCGAAATTCTGCTCACTGATTGGCCCCTAAATGAAGACAAAACAGAGTATAATTGTAGCAGATAAAATGAAGGCCAAAGGAATACAAACACCCAACTCCAAAGCATAGAAAAGCATTGACATGGCAACTGGGGAGAAGTCATAAACACAGCAGTCATCCAAGACAATAGAGGGACTGTAGCAATTGAGGGATTTTCATGTGTTGGGGCATCCAAGCACATTCGAGGCAAGAAAATGTTCTGAGATATTATCTTCAGTATAAATTGCTTTTCTATTGAGACCTTATCTATCGAGGCTCTGGGATTATGGTTGACATCCCTGTAATTGTCCTTACCTAATTTACCAGTGCCCTTCTTGAGACTGGGAAAGGAGACTGTATTTCTGCATACCTAACTACCTAACTACCTTGGTGGATTTGGCCTGTGTTTGGATGACATATAGGACATGGAGCTTTTTAGAGGCAGAGTTTTGTCGGCCTTAAAAGGATCACAGCACTGAGCTCAGTGAAAGAGGTCAATATTCTGATCTAAGAGTAAAAACAGATTCTCAGTGCGAAATTTTCACACCTTGTGCAGGGGGACACTGAGCTGGGGAGGGGTGGAGTAAAAGCTTGTGCAGGGCAGAAACACCATTGTTGGCTCAGTCCTGGAAGCAGCTGAGTCTGATATCAAGCAGAGTCCAAGATCCAGCATCTCCGTGGAGTAAATTAGGCTAAGCAGAGCTCTGCTAATGCAGCTATAGTGCTCCCGTCGGTCCCTGAGCAATCTCATCTGCTTCAGGTGCTGGCAATACAATCTCAAAGAAGGTGCAAAGCCACTGGCTGTGGTCTTACCATCTGTGGAAGCTGAATGTCAGCAAGGCTGGAGATGAGGGCTTGGCTTAAACCAGCTAGCTCCTTCAACAGGCTCTCATTGTTCTGCTCTATGAGTTTGTTCTCTTCTTCTATTGTTTTCAGGTTGGTCTCCATAGACGTGATCTGTAAAATACAGACATCTACAATCAAACAGAACTGTGGCAGTGCTGAGCCCAAACTGGCAGTCACATTGTCACACTGTGGGTCTGAAACTCAGGCACTTTTTAAAGGATGGATATAACCTCTCCATAGAATAATCACAGCAAGTTGTGTTCAGTCTGAATCAATGGATTTCACTGTGGGTTCACAGAGAAACCCTGAGTCAGTGAGGCACCGAGAGCACTTTGAGCAGGGAAATGAGGTCAGAGGGGAAATGGGATACACTGGGATGGAGAGTGTGGCCTCAGGGTTGGTGGAAGGTAGGAGAAAGGAGGCTGATGTTTGCATTGCTGACTTGCTCTTAAAGTATTCCCTGCTGATTGCCCACAATGGTCATGACACAGCTTTTAGTTGTTATGCTGCCTCCCTGCCTCACTGCTTAGTGGAGGGTAGAGCTGCGAGCTGCCTGGTTAGCAAGAAAAAAAAATCAGTGGAATGGATGGAATGGAATGTGATGGAATCAGTGGGAGAAAAATTGAGCAGGAAGGAAATTGAGAGGCTGAGTGTGTGATTGCTGAGATCTCTGAGGAACAAAATGGAAACACCAGGTGTTTAGAAACAGCATAAAAATATTCCTGAGGTAGTGAAATGGTATAATTTCTGCATGAGAGCAGAAGGCACATACTGAGCTGTGAAAGTTCACATGTCAAAAGTTGTGCTGAAAAACTGAAGGACGCAATGGCAGGGCCTGGTGCTTCACCCAATGCAGCCACTGCAAAGGCTGCCCATGGCCCTGGAAGGCACAGTGCAATGGCACATCTGCAAGTGTTAGGCCCACTCTCTCCTTGTTAGGACGACACCTCTCTGCACTGCTTAAATCTCTCCTTGTTTTGGTCAGTTTAGTCTCCATCGTCACACACCCAGACTGCCCTCAGGAAGAGGAGCCCTGTTTGTCTACACCCCTGATGCCTGTCCTATGGAGTGTGCTCCAGGCAGCCAAGCACCTGATCTGGGGAGATTAAAAGGGGATAGAGCAAAGCCCTGTAGCAAACACACTGCTGCAGATGTGGTTCAGGCTTTGCTAATCAGACTGTCTTCAATCTTGAGTAATTCAGAGGAGAAAGCTAGCTGCATAAATTAGGCCATCTCTGTTCAAACAGAGAGAACTGAAAGCAGCGTCCAGAAACACTGAAAAAAACCTCACTGCTATTTGGTTTGGGACACAAGCATTGCAGTATGGTTGCGTTTATACTCAGTGCAGGTGGTATAAACTTTGCCTGTGTTTAGACTATACACTCTCTGGCTATTATAAAAACAGCATGAATCAGCACTGAGAGCATTCTGCACATGAGGGCTGTGGCTGCACTCTGCTCTGGATCAGTTTGGACTTGCATTCTGTTACCAGATCTGTTCTTATTTAGGAATTATTCTCTAAAAATCTTATTGTTCCTAAAATAATGAGCTCTTATTTCAACCTGATTTACCTGGGTGAACACTCAGGTGCATGCAGAAGTCCCTTTGTGGAGGAACATTCTCCATAGAATCACAGTCGGCACCTGTAGGCTAATGCCATCTTGCCAGTTTACAAAAGAATGACAGTGAATGCCGTTTCCACAGCTCCCCCTTCAACTAATCTGCCCTACCAGTTAAAAAGAGGCATCCATTCTTTACCAGCTGTTGCCTGGGGGCAAAATTCGAACTATTTAAGTAACTGTCAGTTTTTTAAGTACAAAACAAAACTAACATGTATTAAAAGTCAGAGCAGGCTCCTGATGCCTTCCCTAGCCCGGGTTCTTACCGCAGTCATGGGATTCTCTGCGGTGTGTTTAACAGAGGTTTGGTCAACAAAGGAAAACGAACGTTTTGTTTGGTAAATATGGTTTCTCTGGTAGCCAAGATTAGCTCTAAACTGCCATCAACGTATCACTCAGTAGATCTTCATAATAATTCTCAGGAACCTGCTACTTACTTACAGAAAACAGATAAAAAAAAACTTGACAAAAAGGCATTTGGGATTTTTGCAATTTTAAGTGCTGCGGAGTGAAGAGTATGCTTTTAACCATAGTACAAGAAAAACGAAAACTTCGGCTTTGATGTCATACCTGGGTTTGAAGTTTCATCATGTCAGCTTCAATTTTAAGATTGGATTCATTCAGTTCTTTTATTTCTTCATCCAAATGTCTGATTTCTTCATCACTCTCAATACCTGCAGATAGTTGAAAATATCAATATCAGATGTAAAGTGTTAATATCTAAATGGACGTATGAGTAACAAACAGTGCTACCTGTTGCTGAACAAGAGGGAGATAACAGGCTTTTGATCAAATTATTGATGTTTAATTTGCCTCTTACTTTGCTTTTATTGACAAAATTGTTTTCTAGTTGTAAAACTTTTATATGAGCTGAAACATCTAAGGGAAAATTATTGCTCTCTGAGTTTTTGTATTTGACAGTTCTTTTTTCCAGCTTAACATACAACCACAAACTAGCCAGAGAAAGGAAAAACTTGCACAAATACTTGGGAGGAGGAAAGTATATCATAAAACACGAGGGAGCATTTGCAATTTATTTATTTATTTATTTATTTATTTTATTACCTGTTTCTGATCTTTCAGGAAAATATGTGGGGGCAAAATTCTACGTGGAATAATTTAGTGCATCACAGCCTTAGGTATGTGTGAAATGTGAATGATACCAAAAGCTAAAAAACATTGTAGAAAAAAAAGAAGAAAGGAGGACTTTCACATCCCACAAGTTAGGCAGGGAAGAAAATTATCTTTGGACCTTCAGTAAAGTTGTGTTCTAAAAAAAATTGAGCAGCTACAGCAGCTGGCAATATATATCTGTCTTTCTGCTCACTATCATTCTGAAACCAATTCCACCTTGAAAAAAGTACCAGGACTGTTTCTTTTTTAAAATCTACAGCCCTGAACTGAGTCTGCTGGGGAATCAACTTGGGAAATCTGTCAGTAGCAATTCCTCCCCCACAGATAATGTGGACAGAGATGCACATGAAAGCAAAATCATTTGCCCAATGTAACACAACTGTTTTGCTCAGCTATTGGAAGCATAAAGGCAAGTTCCTTTCATCCTGGCTCAATGCCCAGGTTTCTAAAGCATGTTTTATAAGAAAGTAATATTATATTGTATCTATTTGGTAGTTGCTCCTTTACTCTTACTATATGGATTAGCAAAATTTTCAAAGCACTGCACAGAAACATGTAGTATTAAAGTTAAGAAGAGGAGTCAAAGAGGAGTCAACTTCCACATGCAATTTATCTCCCTTCTACGTTAGCCTAACCATTAGCCAACATCAGCTAGCTCTTCTGATCTGTAACTAATAATTTATTACTAATTACAATAGCAAGAGCACCTCCAAATTAATAATAATATTCTGAGATAAAAGATCATACTCCCAAATTTTGAATCATCATGCTGTAAATGAGTTGAATTTTATAATCTTTCATGCAAAGATTTTTGTTATTCAAGTTTAGTTATTGCTAGAGACAACTGAAAGGGGTGACAGTTAATGCCAGAATGGTATCAAGGAGCCTGAGTATAAATGGGAGACCAGGCCCTTCTATCTGAATAAATGTCATCGTCTTTTACAGATCTCCTTACCACCACTTGCTTTAAGCTTGATAGTCATTAACTCTTCCGAAATTTTGCCCTTTTTTATGGCTTGTGCATTCAGAGGACAACCAGATAGACTGAAACAGATAGGAAAAAAAACATTAGCACCCACTTGAAAGTGGCAACAATCCTTTCAGGCAATATTATCATGCACTTGGACAGACCTCTGTATCTAAGGTCACATCAGTATCTCCATTATAGCATAGCTTCAGGGAATGACATAACTCATAAAGAGCTATTTAACTGCATATTCCAGCCTGAAAATTGCAACAGATATCTCAACCAATAAGTAAACAACATTTAAGCATATTTCAGAATAATCAAAAGAGAATTGGGAGCTATTGTAAAGTTACATGGAAATGCATTTACAGAATTCTTGAAGTTCCAGCACTTATAAACAAATAAAAACTCTATTGTTTCTATTGAGTGATTATGCTTCAGAGGAGAGTGGCAAATGGTCCTTTAAAATGGCAAGTTTACCATTCTTAAAAAAATAAATTGTTAATGGGTTGATTTCCACAGCACACATTTATTGCATTATTTTGTTGATATATAATAATGATCAATACAATAATAACTCTGGGTATACCCTATAGACCATAATAGCTTTTTTGAATGGTTCTATTATATAATCAGTTTGCTTTTTAACCACTGTTTACATTAAATTATATTTTGCTATTTCAGTGCTTACAATTTCATCAGCTGGTAATTATCTGAGGCAATTTTTATTGCCTACTAAAGGGCTAAGATGAATTGCACTGTCTTAAAAATAACAAAGAAGAAATACCACATGCTGAAGAACTGGCAAAAGGCTTTGTATTTAGATGTAGCCAAGTAAGGAACGAAGGCAAAACTTTTCCTAGTACTATTTTTATTTATTTTTATTTTATTATTACTATTATTTGGTGGAAAAAGAATCCTATTCAACATGGTGTTTCTACAAAGGAAATGAATAAGTCAATAAATAAATAAGAAAAAAAAACTTTGGAAGGTTTAAGTTTGCTTCCTGGCTGCTTAGCTAAATGTGCTAGTTTTCCATTTCTGGTATCGGTCTGGAGCTCAGCCCAGAGCTGTCATTGTCTCAAAGTCATTGGGTGGTTTGTTGGGTTTCAAGTGTGTTAGGTAAGGATATAACATCATAAACCTATACTAATTATATGATCTTAAGAGTGATCCAGCCTCTAGTAGGACAGAAGTAATCTAAGAGACCAATTTTTTATTCTATTGGTTTGAAGGTGTCATATTGCATAGTATGAGTTAATTAGCCCCAATTTTTAATAGTATTGTAATGTAAACACTTTACCATGCTCATAAATTTAGGATAACAATGGACAAATCTACTGCTTTGGAGGTTTCTTCTCTGCTATAAATAAATTTGCATATGAACAGTTCACAACTCTTTAAGGAATTTATCTCTCAGCATTCCCATCATGGTCTGATTCCACTACATCTGCCATACAGATGAGGCATTGGCATTAAAAGTTAATGCTCATGTGTAGGCTGCCTAAAATTTCAGTGAAGGATTTGTGATATACTTTTCCATCCTGGGTGGTTGTTTCTAAGGACTGGCAGTCTTCCAGTATCAAACGCTACATAATGAGAAATGGGTGCAGAGCAAACAGTTTGACTCTTGAGTCGATGAATCCACCACAACCACAAAACTTTGCTGCAGACAGAACTGGGAATAGGTCACTCAAACAGCAGGACATTGTCCTAGCAGCTGAGCTAAGAGTTCTGTGTAACTATATTACAACCAAGTAAGGAAAAACAAAGTCTTGTGCTGAGTTGGGAGTGGGCTGGGGCAGAGCCACAGGCTTGAGGCTGAGATAGAGAAAAGTGTTAGGAAAAGGATTGGCCCACCAGAATGAACCTAAGGGTTGAAAGGAAAGGGAAAAGTAAGAGCAATGGAGCTTGCTGGGGAACCTTTGAACAACCACTTTCAGAGGCTGTGAAATTTGAGCACACAGTTCTGCTGAATCATACTGAACTTCCTCCGACTGAATTGGTTCAGATTATATTGGACATTCTTGTATTAGAGAACTTGATTCAGAATGTTAAAAAGAAAGCAAAGTAGATGTAAAATAGACATTTAATTCCCTCTATGCACAGAAAATCAAACTTTACAAAGTAGTATTTCTGATTCTGTAGACGGATTCTTTGAGTAATATTGACTGAACATGTTCAAATGGTATTAATGCTTTCATCTTAATATATAAAAATCTGATATTTATTGAACACTGACTATATGTGTGATTCCTACTTTGTAAAGATAGTTTTATGTGTAAAATTATAACAGCAAACTTGTGTGATCCATGAGTTCTGTGTGTTTAATTTTTTGTGCAGTTCTAGCTATTTAAATACAAAGTTTATGAAAACAAGTTTGCCACTGGTAAAAAGATTAAATAAATGCAGACATTGCTCTTGCTTAATCCCTTTTGTTGACATTTCAATGATATTTGAATTTTCTATAAAAGATACACAGATCCAACTCCATATTTGCCTAGGACAGAACTCTTATTAAATTTTAAATCATATAGAAACTGTTAATCTGAATAAAAAGACCTTGGGAAGTCACATTGCTAGGGGAACATAAAATAAGAGTTAAAAGTTGATCCAAGCTGTCTCAAGCTTGTTCTGATCCATATTACTTCAGTTTCAATGTATACTATCTCGTTATTTAAATAACCTCTGCACAATTTATTCAGACTGTAACCTCATTTGTTGCCAATTCAACAGGGGAACTTTAAGGAAAAAGGAAAAAGAAAACACAAAGTTATACCTTCTGTGGGTGACAAAAACATTATTAACATGACCCAGCCCGTTGCAGCCTGGCAAAGGACAGTGTGGCAGCTCTTGTTTGTTCAGTTTCCAGGATAGTGAAGACCCATTGACGGGACTCTCCTTCTGTCTCTTGGCAGCCAAAGGACAACCAGAAGCAGTGCGATGAGAAGTGTATTTACCTGATATGTGACCTTGGCCATCACAGCCTATCACTGGGCATCTACAGAAACACAGCAAAAGAACCCTGGTTTTTATTAGAGACATCTGGTGAAAACAGTCTCAAGGAAGTCTGAGAAAATATGTTCAGCTACTTATGTCACTTTGCATCGGTATATTAACGCTTGGTCCCCAAAGATGCACTATACCTGAGCATTCAATTCATGTCAAGCTGAGTTATGGAGGTTCACCTAATTTTAAGATTAGGCAATGTAAAGTGAAGTTGAACAGCCTAAGAAATGAAACCATTCGTTCAGATAGTATTTTACCAGAAAAGAAGTTTGAAATTCTATCATAGACTATAAATCACAACCTGTAGGTATATGAAACATTAGCATTCTCTCTTCTCTGTGTTTTTGACATGAAGTGGAGGCTGGGTTCAAACATTCTGATCCGTGTTACTGGAAAACTCTTGGAAACATATGCAAAGAAAGGAAGAAAGGAAGGTTTAGGATTTTTATTTTTATTTTCATTTTAGTTGCTCGGCCACTATTATGCAGTCTCTCATATATCATTAGCAAGCAGTAAGAAAATTAATGAGTGCAACTAAATCTTCATGTCTGTATTCTGGAAGTTATCGCTTACTGATTTTAATGGAATTTGCATTCAAGTAAGGAAGCAGTAAATACTCACTGAATTTTCAGTTTTCACTTCAAGTGAAATTCTATCAGTTAAATGAGTAGGAATGATACAAGAAAATACAAGTCTTCCTCGCTGTTCAAGCTCCAATGTGATGGACTCCATCAGCTTCACTAAAAACTGAAGCAGTTGGTTTGGCTTCAGCTATTGGGCTTATTGTCAGATGGGTTGGGTAATTCCTATGATGTTTCATCCCTTCAGCTCTTACTGTTTTTTCCCCCTTCACAACAACTTACACATTTGTACTCACTTAAGTTCAGGGTCTTCTTTTTCATCCTTGGAAGGAGTCACTTTGATACCACCTTTTCTGGCACGGGGACAACCAGATAAGCTGCAAGGACACAGAACAAAATCCACCTCTTTAGGATGCTGCTTGCCAATAACCCCGAGTGCTGCAGTCTCAATTCATGGGACAGTGCTTACCTTCTGTGTGATGCATAGTTCCCAGTCACGTGGCCAGAACCATCACAACCAGGTGTTGGGCACCTATAGAATAATATACTTACATGACTTTGAAGATAGCAGTAAATAACATGTATTTGGTGCTTCTTGTCTAGAGTGAGAGAAAGCTTCCACCACATAGCTTTTGTTGAGTAATTAAAGCTAATTCTTGTTGATTTTTTTTTTTAATGTGCAAAATACTTTTTTTTTTTTTTTTTTTTTAATGTAATTGGATTTTAGTAAGGAACATTAAACGTACTGCATAAGATATATGGAATTAAGCAATTCATAACACTGTTTGCACCAAACATTTTTCCTTGCACAGAGCCAAACAAACAAGCAAAAAGCCGATTGATATAGATCTATTTGTAAATTTACTGTATGTATTTGTTTGTTATCCTTCTGATATTCACAGGTACGGATGCAAATAAGCACTTTGCCAGTATTTACAAAAGGGAAAATGGAAGCAGAGATGCAGTTTTACTTTTGTACATCAATAGAGTTAGTGTGATAGGCAGAATTTGAATTTAGTAGTTTGTAAATTCCTAGCACTGTAATTATACAACAGGATATCTATCTATTTAACTCTAGATGCAACTGGATATTCAGCTTGGGAATTGGATTATGGAAGAGTTGTCTGTATAGACTGCACCCAGATTTTAATCTACCAAGAGCTCTTTATGGAATATATTCACATCATGAGTCTGAGAGTTATGGACATAAAAGTACAGTGAGACAATTTTGAATCTCCCCATCTGCACTTGCTCCCCCAGGTAGCAGTTAGACTTTACAACTAGACTGGAATTCAAAGCATTCTAGAGAGTGTTAAAGATATGAAGGTAAGATATTAATAATATTATGATATTTCACAACACAAGATATACCAACAATGCACTGCCTTTCAGTCAGTAGTAATGTGGATCTTGATCAGCTTTAAACTGGCTGATGAGTTTGAACTGATGCCCCAGCTTAGGGAGTTACTGTGGAGAGCCAAGAAAATCACATTTGTGTTGGAGAGCCAGAGGTGAAAGGATCTCAAGTTAAACGATGTCAGCTCTCGAATGGGTGTAGGTTACAGATTCTTTTACACTTCATCAAGTTTATTTTCTAAGAACAAATTTCACAGCGATTTCACACAGCAATTTTTGTAACCATGCATCAAGTACCTGCCATTTTGTGCCCCTTTTCAGTGTTCTATCTTTAGGTAGACAAACTACAACTTCACATAAAATTGATACACTCAGCTGAGAATCTAGGAGCACTTCTGATACTTCTACTGATGGTAAAGCTCTAAGAAATTGTTGGATAGGAACTTTACCTAAGGCAAAACCACACAAGTCACTTAAAAAGGGTAATGATTAGAACATGTCCTGCTGTTGATGGAATATGGATAACTTATCAACTTGGTATATGGAATCTACCTATTTCCTAACGTTTCTGAACTGTAATTAGATATTCTTATATAGTATACTTTTAAACTTGTTTAAGGTTTGATAAGCAGCTCTTTGGTGAAATGAAAGTGAATTAAATCACAACTCTCCATAATAGCTTAAAAATGCTTCATCAACATTAGTGTATTTTAATTCAACCATCTTAAATTGTGCAGTGCAATGAGAATTTCTCAGATATTAAATTTCTTGATTTTGACTGAAAGATTTACTTTTTGAGCAGATATTCCTTATTTCTCAACTGCAGATCACATGGAAGCCTTGTATCTTTGCTGGCTTAGAGATTCACAGTTAAAGCCAAAATCGTATCTTGATTCTGGCAAATTAAACACGAATAACATTTGGAAAAAATACACAGCTTTTTCTTCTTCACGCCTAACTACATGAGGGTACGTTGGTGGCCTGATTCTATGAGCATTATGCCCTTTACTCTCATCTCTGTGAAATAAAACTATTGATATCACTATACTATACTAAAAGCAAAAGATTTCATTTAGTTGTTATCAAAAGCAGAATTTTGTTTAAAATTTCACCTGAATTACATTTGCAGGAAGCTAAAATAAGTTGGTACATTTGTGGAAAATGATTTTATTTCGCCCTTTTCCCTTTTGCAAATTGTCTGTGAACAGATTTTGATTTTTGCTCTTTTCTAGCTAATTGAAATTAAATGCTAAGTGCATTATGCAACATATTTCTGTCTGTGAAACGTTCATGAACTTTGACTTCGTCTTTCACAACTCACTTATAATACATGGCGTACAATGTGCAGTTTGTCATTTAAGTCATATGCTGTTGCTCCTCTTTCCTTATGGCATGACCAAAACTCTAGAAGCTTTAGTGGAAAAATAACCATATTGGTATGCAAATTTCTTTATTCACACATGAATATGGGGGGGAGGGGCTGCATGAAGAGCAACTATTCAAAATATTTGTGTGAGTGTCTATGTATGGCAGAAAGCCAGAAAAAGCAGGGACAAATACATATGACTCAGCAAATGATTTCAAATTTGTCAGCATTTTCACAAGTCAGTTCCCTGCTTCTTGTGCTGCTCTTTTAAAAAAATACTAAAATTAAATTTTATACATTTGAGACTCAATGAAATACTGTGCCAGTATGTTAGTTTCCCTAATAAATTTCAGAACTGCTTCAAGAAATTGCCCATATAAATGGACCTTTTTTGCCATTTTGATGCATCTCTAGCAGGTTCACGTCCATAGCTACCATCAGTTCATTCTTTTTTTTTAATTAATGTTGTTGGACTAAAGAATGAGACCACTAGTATTTGGTCTATGTAAGCTAACTTGTGACTAAGCACTGAGCAAAATCTATGTGTAATCAGTACAGTCATAAACATCATCTTATCAGCATAACTGTGCCACAGTTGGACTTTATTTTCTTCTGTCTGGATTAGGGATGAATGTAAAGGACAGAAAGGACGGTCACGGGATTCTTCTCTTTTTACATGCATCCATGAGATTTCCAAGCCATCTATTACAGGATCCAATTTACAAGATGCAGAGAGAAAGCTATGAAAGAACTCTAATTATCCTTTCCTCTTCCCTATGTCCTTATTGACAAAGGCAATTCAATAACTAGATGACTGGTTGCCAGTGCCTCTCTTGACTACAGATTTTTGAAATATTCATATGTCCCTATACATCTGTCTATATAGCAGAGCCCGCACAGTCCTTTTGTAAGTGACATTTCATGGTGAAAATTATGCCAGCACAAAATCATGTGACTTGATGTCTGCTTCAATGACATTAAACACATAGTATATGGTACTGAATGATAAAAAATGATATGCAGGAGTTCTGGTCTAGTTTTTTGATTTATTCTATCTTCCTTAATCAGTGGTATGTTTTCAATATTTTTCTCTTTCTTCCTGAATGAAAAATACTGTTACTCTTAGTGTTTTCAGTATTTTTTCTTCATGTCCTGGCTAATTCATGAAAATGAAGGGACACTAAACAAGAAAGGCAAATTGAGAGAAATAAACTCTGTTTTAATAAGTGAACTTCACTGAAATATTTCATACTTCGCTGCACAGAGTAATTAAAATGAACAACTCAATTACTATAGGGAACATGTTGATCAAAGATAAATAAGAATTACATTTTTACTATTATTAATACTCACTTAAGCTCCTGAGAGTTAGCAGCCATAAGGGATTTTAATGTCTTGTCAGCTAGTGGGCACCCAGAAACACTGAAAAATACAAGGTGGAATGTTTCACTGAAACAAAATGTATATATTCTTTTCTTAAAACAACAATCTTTATAAAATCTGTGACTAAAAATGGGAAAAAAACAGACCCTCAACTATTTCCTGTTGACAAAGGAAGAACAATCTATGCCAGACTCTTGAATTACTGAAAACATATATGGTTAGGGCTATAGCTTTCTAAGTCTCTGTAAAGCATTAAACAGCAATGTGGTGTTATGCAGAGCCCTTTCTACATAAATGGCAGGTACAGCATCTGGTCCATGTGGCTGCTTACATCTTGTTCTCAAAAGGAAACAGAAAAAAATATTGTTTCAATCCCCAGGTAGACAGTAGGCTATTCTAAAGAAATAATTTGCAGCTACAGAATGTATTGCAAGTTCTGTTAATTTCAAAGCCACTTGCAGAAAAAGTTTCTACGGAAACCTTATTTAAAATCCCATCCAATATCTCATCTGTATAGAGAGTGCTTGTTCACTTAGGGAAATGCAACCTTTACTGAATGACTTATCTACATGTCTTTGCTAAGCCATCTTGAGTAATAAGCATATGCTGCCTAAATCCATCAGATTATTGAGTCCAGACCTTCTACAAAATATAAAACAGGAAAAAAGAGACCCTTTTCTGTATGGGTGATTTTCTATAAATTACTTTTGAATACTTATCCATGGTTAGTATATAAAAAAAGTTAAATGACAGCAGGTAAAAGTAGCACTATTTCCTGCTTTGGTTTTCCTGTTGTTTCTTACCTGCGGTGTGAGGCATAGTTTCCTGTTACGTGACCGCTACCATCACATCCTGGAGTTGGACAGCTATGCAAAGATGCAGTGAGAGGTTAGAGCATGCACAAGACATCACATAGCTTACCCTGCAATTAAGTACATAATGATATGTAGGACAATCATATTCATTATAACCCATCTCAATATCATCATGACACCACAAAAACTAACAAAATCTACATAACAGTTCTAGTTTTCAATTAGTACTTGAAGCACAGAAGGAAAAAAATTCCTATTTCCACCATGCAAATCAGTCAAAACCTTACTTCTTTGATCTATGCAAGTGTGAAACCACCTTGCTTTGCATAGCTTTTTCAGTTACAACTCGGATTCTTGAAAAGAAACTTCATTATTGCTACCAATATTTAACTGCAGTTCATAAATCCTAGAGGTAAAGTTTCCTATCTGATCTTGTGTGTAATACAGGCCTGAGAACAATAATATCCCAAATCATTCCTTTAGCTTCTGACTAAAATAATGCACCTTTTTTTAGAAATGCATTCAGGATCTTTATTTGCTGTGAGAAATAAGTGAGAAATAGATGCTATGGTTTCTTGCAGAACAGAAAATGTATCAGCTAAAGTTCAGAATGAGTGTGTTTTCATGGGATTTTTCACAGCTGAAATGAGAAGTGGCATAAAAGTGTACATTTAGCATTTATGTAAATGTAAATGTATATTTACATTTACATGTGGTGTACATTTAGCACAATGTATTTTTTTCCTTTATGCCAAGAGATGGAGGCATGTTTGACCGGGAGAAAATGTCATTTTTTTCCTCAATTCAACTTTAGTCATAACTCTGAGATCATTTATCAGATTGATCCCAATTGATCCTATGCAAGAGTGCAGAAATTGCAAGAAATGCAATCTGTGGGTGGATGAGGAGGAGTGAGTTAAGTATACCCTTCTACAATATTTTAAAACCTCTTAACAGCAGCCCTCCATTCACCTTATAAATGGCTGTGTTTCACTGGACGCCAGTGTTTCACTGGGCAATCAGAATCTGTACAGAAACATTTAGCTAGTGCTCCATGAGTAAACCTCAGATCCTCACCTGCCTATTTTCTCTGAAGTGGCAGAATGTTTGCTAGGAACTTTTCGAATCTGTAAAAAAGCTTTAGCAAGATATCACAGCCCACTGCAACCTGAGCAGTGTAGTTTTGGTAAAGAGAATCAGCATGGAAAAATAAGAGGCACATGCAGTAAGATGATTTTCATACAGTAGTTCATTGCAAATGAGATAATGGGGTCAATTTTTTTTTTTCTCTGCAAGTGCTTATGTCATTTTAAAAACTTCCTCATGATGGAGCCACCTGTATTGGATTGTTCTGTATGAGTTTTGAGGCTTAGTGGGATCACAGAAATGCAGTCTGATTCCTGTAATTGCACCTAGATTCTGCTGATATATTAAAGCTATTTCTTATTTAATTTTTAGAGCAGTTACATCTTAGGTGCCTCTTTCTACTCGGCATGTGAAAAAAATACAGTAAAACCAATGTCAGATTATCACCGTTTTTTGTAAATACTGTGGAGAATTATTATTTAGGAGATTAGAAAAATGTTTCACAGCCATCTCAAAACAGGTCAGTATCGCAAAGGAATAAATAATACAAAGGAAAAGCCATTAGAGTCTTCAGCAAATAAACTCTGAGTATTTTTGTCCGCAGTTGTTTTAGAGGAGGCAAAACAAACATGACCTCTTTCAATTTAGGTCGTGAACTACAAGTACAGATACAATGTGGTGAGTAGGCAACATGCAGGCTGCACGGCATGAGGTGAAAGAATCACTCTTCACAGAAGCTTGCCCCAGGGATATGTTATTTCTAAAGACAGAGTCATATCTAACTGATTCAGTGCCACTGAGTCTGTGGAGCAGTACACAAGGTGATGGGATGCAACTCATTTATTTATGGAGGAGCCTGCAGTGATACATTATAGACTATCATCACTAAGTAATTCTATGTTCCACTTGTCTAGAGAGACCTACTTTGTACTGAGGACAAAAAGAAAAGTGGAATAAATGATCACTCAATCCCATATGGCAAAAAACCCACTCTATTGATAGCAATGTTGACGTGAATCCAGTAGGCTTTTGTGAAGAGCCTAACTGGGATTTTAAAAGGTGACCAGTGTTATGAGCTGGTTGTTACAATTTTACTGAAACTGTTCTGAACCAAAACAAACTGTTACGTGCAAAAAGATTAAAAAAAAAAAAAAAACCAACAAAAACAACCAACCTGATTTCTTTGCAGTTTTTGACAGTAAAGTTTTGGAGTTTAAAACTAAGCAAATGAGACTCTTTTCTTGGGAAAAGAGAGCATCAGCGTGTTCTCCCAGAGTATGAATTTGTGAGTCCACTGGATTTTCAGTAGGACAGAATGACAGAATGCTTTGAAGGAGGCAAATTAAGAACTTAAAGCCTATTTCCTAGGGTTGGAAAACCCTGGGGCAGTTCCTCACTACCCACTATCCATTTTATCCTTTGAACTTTGTATGTTTAATGTCTGCAAAATTTGCTGCACTTCTCCACAAATCCTTGGAAGTGGAACTGTAACAAAGACTTTCCAAATAAAGTTTATTCAATTACACAAACATTAACACAGCCTACTTGTAAATGTGGCCCATTTGTTACCTACCTACATGAAGAATAAAAACTGATAGAGAGCAGAATATAAGTCTTGAATCTGTCCAGACTCTCAGACCCATCTCTGCTTTGTCTCAGCTCCATGCTGACCTACAGTGGGAACTACCTGCAGTGATCATGAAGGTCTCCCTACTTGGCTACCTCGAATGCACTTCAATTCAGCACTCAGACAAACAATTTACTCAGTCTTTAGAAGGGTAGAGGAACGTGGCACTTTTTTGTGACTCACGTGATGAGTTCCTTTTTGAGATCTCTTGAATGGAGCTTGGGTTTAGGACTTGGTATGGAGACTTCTCCTGGATACTTTTTTTCTTCCATGTTTTCTGGAGAACTCACTGTGTCTTTCTGAAATATTAGATGAAAGTGTGACAAATGGTTTCTCTCATCAAGAGAATTCTACATGTTCAACAAATAACTTGAATGTCTTTTAAAACATTTTAAAAAGTACCATAAGAAAGAAGTACCATTAAGAAAGTTTAATGCGTTGTAATTCAAAGCACTGGCAGATAGACTTTTTAAAATGTTGAACTGTATATTATGAAATTATTTCTGAAGGTAAACGCTGTTTTAGTATGTACATAGGGACAATCAGGCTTACATTTATATAGCAATGATGAAGACCACAGAAAAACACACAGAAAATTAAGGCAATTGTTGAATGTAGAGCCAAACAAGACTTCAGAAAGTATATACTTGCTTTTTCTTTGCAAGTACTTCGTTGTGTTTTATACATAGTTGAAGTGAGAACCATTGTACCATATTGTGAATTAAAAAATTATAACCATAAATTAAAAACTATTCTATGTAAAAATATGTAAATACAACACTTTCTAGGTTGGTAGAAAGCTATGATCTGATGTCTTATGCAAAGACAAGATTCTTGATAAAACAAAAATCATGAGAAGAAAAACACAGATTTTCTTAGCATCTGGCTGGTAAAGGTAATTATTGATTTCTACTACTTGTAGATTAAAATCACTGCTACAAGCCTGCTTGATAGATAGTATGCACTATGAACATTCACTCTCCTGGGGAGACAATTTGGAAATCCAGAGCTCTGGAGAATATGACATTTTCATTTTCTGAAAAAAAAAAAAAAAAAAAAAAAAGCAAACTTTGATCATTTCAGATATCTTCATTTTTACTGTTTTGAGGATTAATGTCTTCAATTATTACTATTTTTATGAAGGTTAAGTTTTTCCTTTCTGGAGTAATGCTCTGTGGATATTTCATCATTCAAGAAATCTCCAAAGCCCTTAGCATCAATTATTAAATCTCTATAAATCCTTGCTGGGAACTCACGTTGGATTTGCCTGATTCTCAAGCAGGTAGCACCCTGAGATTACTACATGTAGGAGCAGAAACTGCTGCCTGCAGTTAAGGGGAGGACCTCTCAGCTTCTGCTAAACTCTCGGGGTTGATGCTGTAGATTTCTGGGCTTGTGCAGCTGATGAATGTGCCAGGACAGAGGGGCAGGGATGTCTGCAGAACTGTTAAGCACATAGTGGAGGGCTGAGAAGAATCTGGACTGAAAATGGAGATTCTGCCTACTGGGACTTGTAAGCTCTGCGGGGGTGTTTCTTCTGATAAAGCTTCCATATGGTCGTCAATTCTGGCAGCTCATCTTTGCCTGTTTGGAGACTGGATCTTCAATATGACTTCGTTTTGCTTTCTGGTACTGGCTACCTACTGCCTACTGTAACTTGCACTATACATACACATAGAAATTCATGTCATATTATTGATATATCAATTACTACTGATTTTTGGAGTCACATTTGTGGAGTTAGTTTGTTTGGGAATAATCTCATCTCATCTCAAGCACAAAAATGCATGTCTTTTCTAAACACTCTTTCATAGTAATTGACAAGTCATATTTTAAGATATAAGAGTAAACATATATTTCAGGCTCTTGAAATTTTATTTCTAAATGAAAATTTCACATAAAGAGTAATAGAAGAGTAATAGATCAGCATTGCTAAAACATTCATATAGAAATACTAAATATCTGAAAGTCATCCAAACATGGAAGCCAGGAAGATAAAAATTGAAAAAAGAAAAAGGAAGCTTTGTTCCAGATTCAAGCAACCTGAGAGACTGTTTTTCCAGCATTAAGTTAAATCCTGATTCTAGTTGCTTATGTGGATGTTTTTCCTCTTAAAGCTACAGGAAGAGAGTTTTATTTAATTACTATGTCTTTCCACATGTTCTGTCCTGACTTTCTTTCATACATGTAAATTAAAGCTTCTGCAGGGATTATCACTATTGTAAGTCTCCATAAAATCAAAAGCCCTAAAAGAACAACAAATTGGTGATCTTCTCCTGACAGCTGCAGGGTTCAGATATCAAGATAACTTCAGAAGCCCTACGTAGATTGGTTTCCATTTAGCATAATGGATGTTGAAGAAGGTTGATTTATGAGTTTTGTGCGCTTTTTTTTTACCAGCTAATCCAACAGGCTACATCTGTATTACTGAACTGGGAGATAGTGCTTTTTCTAAAGATTTAGTGCATATATGGGATGAATCTTAGAAATGTATAAAGACCAGGCACACATCAGCCTGCTCACACTGCAGTTTTTTAATATCTTCAGTTACAGCTTGTGTTCTTTAACTCAAATGGAAGATATCTCTTTATCAATTGTTGGACAAGAAACCTCTGTGTGAGATATTTGTCAAGTCACTGACTGACACGTATTGCATAGAGAGGACTGGTTATTAATTCTACATACTGGGACTTGACAAAATGCAGCAGCATTGAGATTGATATACACAATTTCATTCAAGTATCTACAGAATAATTAAAAAAATAAAATGGGAAGATAAAGGTTCATGTAAGTGTATCTATATGCATATTTTTAATGTACAAGCTATCCATATGTTTTTTTTTTTCCAAAATTTAATTCTGGATTTATAGAATCAGCTTTTCCAGACTAAGATTTTTAAATCTTTAAACCAACAGCTATACATGCACAGACACGCAGAAAAACCTACAAGAACTTCATAGATGGGCTCCTTTGAAAAAAGAAAAATTCTCCCAAGGTCTAGAAGAATATCCAAACTTTGCCTTTCTTGGCCCTAGAGTCAATACATGCAGCCCACAAGGGACCACATCTGTCTCCAGAGTTTTAGCTTTAGATGGCAAAATAAACCCTTGTGAAAAAAACACCTTCAGTGCTTCCTACTTCTTGGTCTTTTAAATTATGATGATGACAGCTAAGTGTATGTATAATTTTTGCTTTTCTATTTGATGGGATTTATAATTAAATGCTATTAAAATTCTGAAGAATACCAGACTAAAAGGAAAACCAGACCAATCCATCCAAACACTACTTTCTGCAGAGCTTTCAACACACTATTTTCTGCAGAGCATGTGTGTATTCACGCATGCACACTCCAGAAAGCAAGCAAGCAATGAAACTCCATTAATGTACAGATGGAAGTTTATATTGATTTCAGCAAAGACCAGAACATAATGGTAACATGAATAACAGATAATAGCATCTGGCACTTTTAACATTTTTAAGCCCTGAAATCTTTGGAGAACTGACAGTTGAACTAACTGACAGCTCTAGTTATTTCTCAGTGCTTTCCTTTTGGAGTGATTTTGAGCTTTTTCCAAATTCAGATTTTTTTTTTTAAGGGGGCATCTGGACAGGCTATTTCACTGAGAGAGAGAGAGACAATATTTTCTGGAAATTACCACCAAAATTAAGCAACTGTTGTGCATATGAACCAGATAACAATGAATTAGAAATAGATATAATCAGTCATTTTCTTTGCATAAGGATAACTGCCAGTCTTCGATTTACAAAACAGAGTTCCTGGCCCTGAGATCACTGGACACACCGAGATGGCAAAAGCTCACAGCAGAGGTCTGGGTCCAGATCCTCAATTAGGAACAAGCCATACAGAGTCAAAGCACAGAGTGTTAGGGGCAAGAGTGCCTGAGCAGTGATCTTTGTCATTTTGTGTAGTGTGCTGATGCATCCAGTTCCCTGTTCTGGTGCCGAGTGAAGCAGGCAGCCACATGTCTTGGCAATCTGAAATCCCATAAAGAGTGGGGTGCTTCTGCTACAGCTCCTTCTCTGATCCTCAGTTGCTGCAGGGAGGAGGAGCAACAGAATAGGCCCTTGCCAAGTCTGTGGCATCAACTGATCTCCTGCAGCAAGGCAGTTTTCTCAAAGCTGGGGCCCTCAGCCTACTGTGTTGTGTGAAATTCACTCCAGAACACTGATACAGGCTCTCAAAGCTTTGTGGCTGAGGCAAAGAGCACAGTCAGCCCCACAGAGGTGTCAACAGTGTGCTCTTCAAGACAATCCTGCCTCCGATAAATGATCCACCATAGCACAAATTGTCTCATTATGGCAGATCTTTACCCAATCCTGGCAGATTTTTATGTGTTCAACTGAATTATCTTCTATTTCTGGATATTTTTTGGAATTGTAAATGTGAATCCCCTAACCTCAGCTCTAAACAGCTTTACCATTCTGTACGCCTTCTTGAAGTATCAGTTTTGATATTTGAAGAAAAGATAATTTTGTAATAATTGAACTGTTCAAATATTTTAATAATGTAAAAACAACAAATAGGAAGTAAATGTATTTGAAGCCAAATAAAAAAGTTCAAATCAAAACATTCTACTTCAAAGGTTATCATTAAGGCTTGTTTATGTTAATTAGCAAGATTTTGTCTAATTAGACTTAAAATGACTTATGATTTTTTCCTTCTTTAAGAAAAATTCAAGTAATCCATATTCTGATGACCAGACTCAAGAAAAAGAAAAATAACAGAACAAAAATAACTGAAAGCCAAAGCTTGTCAAATAGAAGGAGAGAAAAACAATAGAAGACTCTGCTGCCATGTTGCCAACATGGGATAAATCTCTATGACAAGTAAACAAAACCAATATTATGATCAAGTTGGGAGGGGGAGACAGGAAGAATAGCCATGAAAGGTGCAAAATTACTAAGTAAAAGCATTTACTGAAATTTTAGTTGTCCATTTCACTTTTTTTTCTGTTTTTAAGTTTGACTTATTACATTCCCTAGGATAGGTTGAATAGGCAAAGCATTTGTATGTACTATTACATTTTTCCCTGGTGTTTTCTTACAAAATAAAAGTCATCACTATTGATGGAAATCGCATACATACACTTTTGTGCTACTTGTAACAAAAACCTTCAGGAATTTCAAATAATTTTTTATTTCTGATTTTATGCTCTCAGATGGGATTCTGAACCAATAGACTTACATGTGAGATCCAAGGCTCACTGGCAGAGATTTATTGAAATACCATTATCTGACCACTCGCCCATTGGAAAAAAATCACTCAGAAACTGAAAAAAAATACCTCCTTTTCTTCTTTCCTGCCATGTGTCTTGCTGTAGTTGATTGGTGTGTCCCAGCCTTCTTGCTCACAAAGAGCCTGGTAGAAGGCTGCATTTACCAAGATGCTGCTTGTTTTGAAAGGAGAAGAGGAAGGAGTGGGAAGTACTGTACTGGAAGAAGTGAGAGGCGTAACTTTGTCTTGGCTTCGGTTCTTTTTCATGCTCAAATCCAGAGTGCCATTTTCATCCACTTCTATCTCAGTTCCCTGACATGCAACAGGAAACAGAGACATGCTTAAATACGGACATGGTGAAGCTGCAACATAAACATGTGGTGCTTTTAAAGGATAAGTATAAATGCATGCTTTTATTTAAATTTATCTGAATCTAAAACCAGCTTTTCGATTTATATCAGTTAATGTCCAACTCTTAGGCAGACTTAAGGGTAGCTTCAGTAATGGTGTCCTTGCATCTCAGCTTAAACACTGTAAGTAGAATTTTAAAAAAATGCCTCTAAATCATAGCCTACACTATAAATCTAGTTTTATTTAAAAAAAGTTTAGCTTTAAATCTTCTTGATCTTTTCACTCTTACAGAAAACTATGACCGCAATTCACAGTTAATAGCATTAGTGCATTGTTTAGGTCATCACCAGCATTATTATTACATATGCTCCCTCCCCCCCACATCTCACAAATATTAAATCTACATCACGGAGGAGAGAAGGAGGGTTAAGAAATATTCCTAAAAGAAACACAGGAGGAGAATTTTTCACATATTATCTTAATCATAGTCTGAGTTGGAAATAATCTTTTAAAGTTTTGCCACAAAACAAGGCCTATGTAGAGAGCAATAGACTGAGAGCCACAGAAGAATCTTTGGAAGAATCTCCTTGATGAAGACCTCCAATATGAGTAAAAAGAGCCTTTGCTACTCTGGGAAGTACAGCAAGCAGCAGCCTTTGACTGCAGAGGAGCATGCAGTTTGGAAAGAGACCCAACTTCTCTTTCCAGGCAGGGAGAATCTCTCAGGTCAGTTCCTGCTCATATGAAGAAGCAAGTGCTGCTTAGCTGTATGAGGAGAACCAAGGAAGAAAAGCTCACTGTTCTGCCTTCCACAGTAAAAACTCTTCTTGAAATGACAAAAAGCTCCTGAAAGTACAGCTTAGTGATAGATGCAACAAAAAATTTCACCTCATGCTCATGTTGTGAGGGCTAACCCCAAGCCCTTTCTGCACTGAGAAAACAGCCTTTCTGCTTCTGGACATATGCCTAAGCAGGCTTTTGCATGTCCACATCATCCTTTAAGAAGATGAAAAACTTCTTGCTTTCACTCACTGATGAGATACTGCTCCCTTGTCCTATCCTCATGGACAGATAGTGACCTGATGGTGATTTTACCACTGCAAACTTCTTCATGACCATTGCAATTCCTGTCCACAGATAATTGCTCAAGGTGTCCTTTTTATAGCTGGGATTTCTTGTACCTTTGCTCTTACTGTTTAAAATGCAGGGATATTGTCTGAAATTAATATGTATGCCTTAACCAGGGAGCAACACTGCATATTGGCATAGTGTTTAGATATGGGTAAGACTGGTCCTCACTATTGACAGCAGTTATTAAATCAAGTAGCAAAAGAGGTGAAAAAGGTGCCTTCTGAAAGAACACTTGGTAGCTTAGTTGTACGTGTTAACCTGAACAAGTTGGAAAATATACAGAGACTACAGAGATAAATGACAAGGTCATGTGAAGTAGTACTCATGTTGAATGCTATATTTAATGTGGATGAGTTCTCCTGTTGTACTACTTTCTATTTCCATCACCACAAAGCTCAGAAGCCACTTGGGAATTTGAGGCTAGATGTATTAGGTGCTGGCTAACTTCAGAGACAGTCATATTAGCCCACATCAAGCTTTCTTACTCTGAAAGAGTAAGAAAAAAAAGTAAACCTGTACCATAATGGAATCACTTAGATCCTTTGTTGAAAAGAGAAAAGAGACAGATAAGCCCAGGGAGCAAGTTTTTCCATTTTACTTTCATCTCTTTCTTAGGAAAAGATGAGACACTGACAGAGTAAATCTCCTCTTTTTTTTCCCATTAACTATTGCTGGAGATTAATCTGTCATTGATTGCTTAAAGATAGGGCAACCAAATTTATGCTTACTTGTGGATCTTAAAAACAGTTACAATGAAGTGGAGAATTCTTCCTCTGTACTGAAAATGTGACATGACAAAGTCAGTTGGCTGAAGGCACAAGCTTCATTCATGCAGCTTGTAGGTAGGTCTTCTACCACTGTCAGTGGTGACTCACTTAAAGGTGAAATGCAGCTGATGAAATATTTTTGATCACAAGGAAAATTTTGGTAGAAGATGAAAATTTCAGGGCCAGTGATCTCTCCTGAGTTGGGGATCCTGGTTCCGTTTTGTATCTATGGGCCTGTGATAGATGCACACCTAGACTGAAGCATACCAAGCCATCTGCTTGTCCCCAGTTCAGAAACTCAGACACTTCTTGCATTTGCTTTGTCTGCATGACAAACTTCACATTTTCAATCATACAGCTTAAAGAGATGTTTTATTATATTTATGGGAAGTAAATACACTTCTAATATGTTCATACTAAGACGCTTTGGTTATATCTTTCTGCCCCTTTTTAGTAAATAGTTTAATCTCCTGTGATAGTTTTAAGCCCTGAATTTGACAGTGCAGCTTATCCTGGATAATAACTTAGTATCCACCACATCTTATGCCATCTGTATAATATCAAATACATTTTTTTTATACCAGCATTAATAAACCTTAGTTACAAAAATCCAAGATATTAACTATATCAGTGCCAAGTTCACACTCCAGGATCTGACAATACAGCTCTGCCATGATCGCCCCAGTGTTTTTTGGCTTCAGAGTTGATATGTAACTATAGCCATGAAACAGAGCTACAGTAATCAAGTTTAATGACCAATGTAAAGTAAAATGCTAAATATTGTAGTTGCTGACATTTTCGTAATAAAAAAACTTGGGTTAAGTCTGCACAACCAACATTCACATAAAATTCCAGACCTCTGTGACAGATGGCTTAGAAAAGGAAGCCATGTGACTGGGCTGCAGTAGTTTTATAGTGCAAAACCCATAAATAGTGCAGATTCTCTGTCACTGACAAAATATCAGCTACTCAGAAGGCAACAATGGCAACAAAAGGGACCAAAAGCATTCAAGGTTCCCTGCTTGATTAAACTGTACACAGAAGAATACTGGGAAACGTATAGCCCCTGGGAAACAGCTACCATTAACCTAAACAAGAGCTTTGAGTTACAAGGAGAATATTTTACTAACACAGATAGATATCAGCACTTTCCTGAAATTCGTGCAGAAGCTGTGTTGTCCAACGCACCTAATTCTGATCAGGAAAGGCTGGGTTGTGTGTTTGTGAAGTAGAGTACAGATGGGGTTTAAGTGAGCTCACAGATGCACACAGCAATTAAATATAGTCATGGAAAAATATCCCCTTTTGCCCATCACAGGATGGATCACACGTTTACAGCATGGATTTTTATTCAGAACAGTATAAAATAGCTATCACTTTGCTACATTCACAGCAAACTCCAAATGGCAGAGATGATGGTCAGAACTACAGCTCCAGTTTTCATTCCTATTCTCATCCCACCCTCCTCTCAATATGTCTGCTTTGCTTGTTTTACCACATTTATTTTTACATTACTTTTAAAATGGAACTAAAAAGACAAAAATGGCAAAAATGGTAAAGAATGCTGGCATGCTGACAGAAAATGGCACTTACTATGCTTATCTCAGGCTTGTAAAGGTTGTGTTCTCCTCAGTGAAGGCAAGATCTGTCAACTCTAGTCTAGACAGGAGCTGTCCCATATTTATCCATTTTTAATTACATATTTAATAGTACCTACAGAAAACTATGTATATTTTCTGTCTTTCCCTTAAAATTTAAGTAAAATAAAGATGTAAATGTATCTTATTATTTCCTAACATAATAGTTTGTCAGCTGAGTGAATCTTTGGTATCTGATTTTGATCTTATTTACATTTACACTGATGTAAACCAGGAAAAAATCTACTGAAGCAATGAAAAAAAAACAACAATAAGGGTGAAAGGAGACCTACAGTAATTAAATTCAGGTTACTTCTTGTCTGTTTCCACGTCACTGACAGTGTAATCATTCCCACAGGAGGTGGAAAAAGGAGTTCAGAATGAAAAATGAGAGAAAAAAGACAAAAGTATATTTTCTGCATTCCATAATGTATGCAGAGAAAAAGATAAAGTACAGTTAGTATTCTGTGAAGAATATCCATCTAAAATGAAGACTAGCACAAATTAGATGAAGAAATGGTCTCTATCTTCTTCAAGTGCTTTATAATTTAAAGTCAGGCTTTTTCACTTCACTTCATTTTATGGCATAATTATTACGAAGTATTATCTAGTACATTATTTAATCTTGTCTTGGAACTCAAGCATATCAGCCAAGATAATAAAAGGGAGGAGGGTTTGTTTGTTTGTTTTTCATAAATTATTGCTGCATTATTTCATATGTTTTTGGTTCATTTGGTAGCTCAAAACTAATACACTGCAATTTGTCTCAAGTAATGATTACAAGTTAAGCTTTATCTCATAGACGAATCAGAAAGAGTGAATTATTGTGTCTGTATGAACTATTTCTATTTCAAACCTGTGACCTAAGGGAGATTGTGTCATTATATATAAGAGTTTTATGTACTCTTTGGTTGACATCAGTCATAGTTCTTAATACTAAGTAAGTCCCAAGAAACAACATTATCAAAGATTTTGTCTTCCAACTAGCAGTTCAGTCTGGTCTAGAAAGCTCAAAAGGGCTTTTCAGTTCTAGCATTAGAAATAACTTCAGAACTAATATCTTTCTTGCCATGTGTGTGAATGCTATTCTTAGTTTGACTCCATCTGAAAGGCTACTTTTTTTCTATTCACAATCAATAAGAATAAATGCATGCATACCTCAGACGTAAATTTAAACAATTGAGTTACCCTGTAGTAAGCTGAAAGACAGAAGCAAAACAGGAAAACTTGTAGCTGCCCAGTGATATTTGAGAAACAAATGAAGTCACAGTTTCAGCCCAGAGCAATTCACAAATTAAATAAAGGCAGCCAAGCACTTACTCAAGGAGCAACATGCACAGCAGTATAACAGGATGGAACCTAGTGATATTCTTGGCTGATTTTCACTCTGTATTTAGGTTTTAAGGTATTTGGAATAAAAGAATGCCTGACAAATGTGTCAAGTGACAACACTGACTACATTGTTGAAATAATTGATGTAGTTATCACCATCAATATCCAAGAATATAGAGATGACATAATTTTGTTCAAAAACAGAATTTGAACTTTAAATATTTTTAGCAAGTGTCATTTTTTTGTTTTCTTTCAAGGCATAGCATGCATATGCCATTTTGTCTAAGCAGGTGGGAAAAACACCAAAACATTCAACAAAATGTTTGGCAAGCAGTAGTGATGGGGATACAGTTAAATTGCATTGCTTGCAATTACCTCTGTGAGATGTGAATGTGGTGAGAGCTGTAAATAGTGGATGGATGCTATGATAATGTAGAGTCTTGCGCTGTGCTGAAAACTGCAGGCTAATTGTTCAAGGGGAGTCCTTCTGTTTACTTCAATAGGAGTTGAAAGTAGTGACATGAGCTGGAAATCAAATGGAGACGAGTGTACTGGTTTGGTGTACAGACCACATGAGAATTGGCTGATCAATATAAGCAGGGGAACAGCTTACTGGTGAACCTGTGCACCTGTGAAATGCAATGGCTTAGATACTGTAAAGTTAATGTGGTATTACTTATTTTAAACATGGTATAATCAAGAGTCTGATTATCTTAGTAAGTAGCACACAGCTGATAGAGACTTACAGGGACAGCTTAGGATCAATTTTAATGCCCATTTTAGAATAAAGGTATTCTTTAAATAGTTTAACTTATAAATTAAGAATTTTTATATAGGAATACACGTCAGATAACTTTCTTATGTTGGTTTGTTGGTTCTCTTTTTAAAATTCTTTTTACCAACAGCAGTGCTAATATTAATGTGTAACCAGATTTCTCTACCCTTGCTACACTTTCTTCTTTTTTTTTTCCCCCCCTTGGATTCTCCCTTTTGAACTGATATGTGGAGAATATGAGATCATTTCCTGAAAATCCATTGAATTAATGACAATTGAAACTTTGCAGTGCAAAAAAGTCTCTTTTTCATTTAAGTATTATATATCCACATTTGCAGAAAAGTAGTGAGCATTCAAGTTAAAATGTCCAGCTCTTACTGAAAAAAAAAAAAAAAAAAAAAAATAATGACAAGCCCTTGGAGGTCAATAAATAAAATCTGGGACAATGCACCTTGAGAGAAAACAAGAAAATGACAATTGCTTAAAATGATTGAAGTTCTTTTAAAACGTAGAAACACGGTATTTTACAGATCTGACTATTATAGATATACTTGGAAAAGATTTCCTACCATATCCTCCGTGGTCCCATTGGCCCTTTTTCTACCACTCTGACTCTCAAGTGTTGTGGCTTGCATTGGTGGGAGCCTTCATGGTGCCCATGTAATAGAAAAGACCTTTAGAAATCAGGGGCTTTGATCCACTAAAGTAAGAATGATGTTAATCAGGTTTTCTTTGGCAAGGAACAAAAGGAATGTGGCAAGATCAGGGCTCAGAGATCTGATGCTGAGCTCTAAACACAGCCACCCTTCACAAGTGTTCTCAGTCCTGGTGAATGTGTGTACTATCACTAACAGGAAAAATAAATCATTAAATTTGTAGTCATCAGCTCATGGTGAATTATTTGAGTTCCAAACACTGAAAAGGTCCTCATGAGATGTTTTTGATTATCTAAAAATATATGACACTCTATCATTAAAAAAATCTACCTTGGTGACCAATACTAGCCATAAATGAATTCAAGAATACTGACAAATAGATGGTGGTATCTTTTAGATATAGCCTCATACATGTTTCATATTTTAACAAAAAATATATATATCTACACTGAAGAGAGTTTTTTACAGACTTATTTCTGCTTTAGTTCTTAAAGTAATAAATAGCCAAATCCAAATAAAAACAGTTTTGTTTGGTTTTGGCCACCAAATCTGTTTGGGGCTCACTTGCCTGTGTGTTAGCCAGAAGCTAATTCTGATTCTTCTGTCAGATGTTTTGTATCAGTACGCCCTCCAGAAAGTCTGGCAAAAGTAGATGCAGGCAGATAGCAAGGTATGCAGGTGATTTTCTTTTAAGTTGGATTCCTAGCTGTGAAAAAGGAGTAAGCTATGTGCCCCAAGTGTTCTTCTGTATTGTTATTATTATATTCATTCCTATTCAAACCTTCCTCATCATTTGGCAACTGTGAAGCAGGTATGGAGGAGAAAATCTTTGGTTTATGTCTGGTCCCTTTACTGCTCTTCTCTGGCAAGAAAGTTGTATTGCTGAGGTCAGCCAAAGGCTGCGGCAGCAATGTAATCCAGCCATTGGCATCAGTTTCCATTTTCATGCTAGAAGTCTCTATAGAAGATCAGTGGAAGGACCTCTCTGCAGCAGCTGTCAGGTTTCATGAGAAAGGTTTCATGTGCAATATTTGGGATAGATAATATCTAAATTATGGAGAATGCATATAAATACACTAAAATGTATACCCTGTGGCACCTCCCAGTGCTGGTTTCAAGATTCAAGACCCCACAAACGGAAATAAAAGTTAGAAAAGTAAGAGATACTACTATGCAAAGGAGAATGGATTGTATTGCCTGACAAGGTGCCATGTCTGTAGTAAAACAAGTGGTTCCCTTCAAAGGATAACAGGTAGTCTCTTAGTAGTAGTGGACAGAGGCCCAACAAAATTTGTAAACCAACAGCTGCAGAAGCCACCTCTAGCCACCCTGAGGCTTGCAGTGTAACAATCACTGGTCTTTTGGAATACATATCAAGACTCTGGGTCCCATAACAGAAACACGCTTGATAATTTGTGTCTTGATAAATACACCTCTTTTCACCCCCCAGTGATTTCTTCTCAAGTTCTTGTAATGGCAAATCCTCATCTACACAGAGCTTTCAAAAGTTTTGTTGGTTTGTAAGGGAGCACATGGAACTTTAATGCAAATAACAAACAACAGTGCTCCCACATGCACAGCCATCAGAAGAAAATCTTGTCTGTTTTCATCAGCATTATAATACCATGTAATGGCACAGAAAATAAGGCTCATAGCTCACACAGTACCATTTGTAAATCATAAAGATCTGTGAGGAAATGCAGAGCAAAACCAAAACATGAAAGCCACACAAACATCTACGAGATTAGGCAGCATTCCATTACGACAGACTTGCCCAAATTATCTATCTCCAAATACTGTGGGTCTGATTCTCCTCTCTCACCAGCAGAAACAAGCATTTTATCCAAGTCAGTTGTTATTTATCTCTCTACACCATTTCAAACTATCATATGCGCTCAGAATACAGCAGACTCAATAGATGTAGTCCTGTTTAATTGCAAGCAAAATATCACCTTGATTAATACCTTTTTTTTTTTTTTTAAACGCACAGCCTCCAAAATGATTGTTTATGGCAGGTTTCAGAGAGAGGAAAATTCCTTCTTTAAACATATCTAACTCATTATCCAACACGAATTGTTGCTGGATTTCACATATCCATCTTTATTATTCCCACAAAATTCCCTCCTTATATGTAGGGCTCAATTGTGAAAAGAGTAACAACATAACTCCTGCTATTTATTTATTTTTATAAATAAATGGTCACTACATTACTGATTTTTTTTCTTTCTCTTCAAAAGAGCATGCAAACAGAAGCCTTCTTTTTGGGGATTTAATGCAGTCACTAACATGAAAGACAGTTTATTCGCACAGTTCAGCAGCTAGCACACCCTCCAGGTTCTTGGACTACCCTACCTTGGCAGACAGACTCTGTGGTTTGTTGGAGAGGATCTCTGCTGCTTCCCTGCAGCGGGTGGAAAGGTTCAGGATAGCAGCAGCTGCTGCTATGTGGGTGTCTTCACTACATTGACCGTAGCTATAAGAGTTGGCATGGCAAGGGCTCTGTGTGTGGGCGCTAGCACTAGGCAGTCGATTAGAAAATTTCACTGGATTTGAAAAATGCTTTGCTGTTGAAGAGAGATTTGATTAGCAATTTTAAATATGCAATTTCTTTCCATAAAATAGTCTTGTTTCTCAGACTACAATTTCGTATAATAAAATATTCAGAGAATACATTTAAAACAATGAATTTCTTACTGACTCTAAAGGTTTACTGTAAAAGTGGCTTCAGAAATATGAATACTTAATTTTTTTTACCAGAAAAATAACTATACGCATCCATATACGCATCTTTTAACAAAGAATCTGAGACATTTACTCAGAATTTTCTTGTTCCTTAGTCAGGCATGGAACACAATGATGTCTAAGGAAAGACTGAACAAGGATTAATGCATTATCAAATTTGATCTGATGACACTGGTAAGAAAATGAACTTGCAAATATATCCTTCTGAAGGCTTCCCCTTGGAGCTCTATTGTGTAAGAAGACACAAGTGACTTGTCCAGTCTTAGCTAAAACAACACTGCTTACCTTACTTAAATGAATAACTGTTATTTATGTCGCTTTGTTTGTATGAGTAAAGAGAACAAGATCAGGCTCTTGAATAAACTGTTTTTCTGCAAACTTTCTGTAATTTGAGTCTACCCTTTAGAGAATTCCAAAAAAAAAAAAAAAAAAAAAAAAAACCCAAAAATAATCCCAAACCGAAATATCCCCTTCCCTACAACAAAATAGCAAGGAGGGAAAAAAAAAAAAAAAAAAAAAAAAAAAAAACCACAAAAAGAAGAAACAATGAATATTCAGAATAAAAGTGGTCTTAGCTGATATCTTCATGCTGGCTGTCATTTGGAATAAGATTCAGTAGACACAAAGAGGTCACTTAAGAACAAAGAGTCAGCAGGTGAACAGAAAAGCACTTTCATGGACAAAAGTGGCATTTATCATTTTTTGTTTTCTCTTCTATCACCAATACTTAATCCAAAACAGGTAAAAAGAACTGTACTCTCTTTTCTGTATTTTGGAGTTTGAGAAGTCACTAACTGTGGCTGGGAAAAGACAGCATCATGATCTCAGTTCTTAATAAAAAATCATCATCTCTGTAGCTCTTACAGTGTCCCACAAAGTATGCAAAATCCAGCTTCTCTGCCTACACCCAGATACACGAGAACATTGCTGCATGTAACAAGCAGCTTGCTGCATAAAGATTTCAGCCCCAAGGCTGTGGACGTAGAGCTTTGGCTGACTGTATTTCAATGATAGGACCTACACAAGATATTCAAGACATCTTTCCTCAATCTCGGGATGCTGTAGAATAAATAGTTGCTTATGTGCACTGACTGTAGTTGAATGCCATGTTTGGTTTTTCTAAATACTGAGGGCATCTCAATAAAGCAAAACATAAGAGCTTCATGATTCAGCTCTCCTTTTCTCCAGTACAAATGAAACTACCCCTCTGTGAAACTACAGAACAAGACGGTCTTTTAGCACTTACTATTGCTAATTTCATATTATTTTTAACAAGTAAAAAGGAGCTCTATCTATTAACCACCATAACAGGCAAAAAAAAAAAAAAAAAAAAAAAAAAGCAGGCTCTGATGGATACACATTTTGTCAGCAAATCAAGTTTATAAAAGCAGAATCCACAGACTACTAATGATGTGGTTCTGGCTAGCTTCATATTTACATAGGACGTTGAACCAGACTGTAAATCACAGCTTCTTACTGCCAACTTTTATGCATCTGCTCAGCTAAAACACTCACCTGCTCTTTTACTTTCACCTTTCCATTAAAATAATAGCTGTACACTGCAATCTTTGTAAGAACAACAGGCCATAAACTTCAGTCCTGATATATGTTATACAGAAATTGCATATGTATGGATTTGATTTGTATAAAAACATTTCAATCATTTTTTCCTTGAGATGAGCCTGTGAAATAGACATGCATCTGTGCAAAGAGACAGCTAATAGGGTGTATTCAATTTTACAAACAAAATTGGAAAACCTGCCACCCAAAAAATTGGCAATGCACATATTTGCTTACATCTGAACAAGCCTATTTTCCAGTCTGTATACATATGTGCTTTTCATTAGTCATTTTAAATGAGGTATTTATATATACACACATATATGCAAAAATGCATGTGTCTACATATACATTATATATGTATGTACATACATGTTCAGATACTTGAACAAATAAGCATATTTTATAAATATATAAAAATATTTATAATATATTCTTAGAAGTATTATTTCGTATATATGCATTTTAAAAAATTCTGCTTTTATGCTCACCTTACTACAAATGTTCTCCTTCCTTTAAGTTAGATGAATTTTCCTTTGTTTGTTTTCTTTTACTACTCTTTTTGTCATGCACAATCGGTACTTTAGATCTATTTTCTTCTGCACCCATATATGGTACAATTAAACTGTTTTTTTCTCATTTTCCTTGGGGAAACTGAATTGTGTGTCTTGAAACTAAGAAGTATTTTATAATGGCCAATTATACAGCACAATCTTGCTGAAGTTTCCCATACAGGTTGTGAAAATGTGTCTGCAATAAGCAATCACTGTTCACACTGCAGCATCTCATTTCTACAGAGTGTTACTTCAGCAAATCTGCAAGTGATGTAAGCACTTGATAATGATTTGATGCATTCGATATGTCTGCACTGTGAATATGGTGTAGTACAGAAATATAAGAAATCAAAATGAATTAAATTCAGTCCTGAAAGTAATGCAGCTGAAGCACGTGGTCTAGGAGGAGTATGTGTATGGATGTATGGATGCAGGTAAAAAGTATCTCAAGTTTCTTTTAAAACCTAACTTGAAATTTTATTATGCTATATGCAATTCATAGCATTCTGTGTTGACATTCTGTGGGACTTCTCATGGTAGCGTACTATCACAAGAATATAAAAATTTAGCCAAGGAGGAAGCCAACAGATAAGATAAAAATCATTCATTTTTTTTTTTTAACTCTCCTTCTGACAATTGCTTTTCAAAGACACATCAAAAAAGTAAACCTTAGAGCGATCACATTTAGCAATCTAGCAGTCTACATTTAGCAAATAGTGAATATATTTAGCATTTTAGCCATAAGTAGCTTAAGATGTTTCCTATAAAGACTTTTTGAATTCTATAAATTTGAAAGCGGGGGGGGAAGAAAAAAAAAGCCCATTTCCCAAAATATAGTAGAATTTCAAACTTACATTCAAGGAACTGTGGTGTTTTTCGCCCTTGCACTGTAGGTGCTATTGTGCGTTTGCCAAAGACTTGTGCATCAAAGCTGGCATAATCAAAGGGTACTTTCCCAAACTTCTCCTTTTCTTTTGTGAGGGTGGTTCTGGAGGAAGCGACAGGTTGTGAAGTTCTGTAATTGTACTGAGCTACTTCAAGCTGCTTAGTCAAATTTGTGCTGCAGAGAAAAGGAGGAAAAGCATGAGAAAGACAAGAATAGCAAAGCAAGAATATCTTTAAATAATATTTTACTGAAAAGTAGCAGACAGTTGCAACCCAGTATCAGAAAGTGCATTGTTTTCACATGTAACATCTACTGGTAGATACGTACAAGAAAGAAATCCAATTCTGGTGGCTGACCAAGAAGTCAAAGAGTACTTTGTCTTCATATAAGTTCAAAGCTGTATGTGTAAAAATACCTAGTATTCTATAGCAATGCTGCAGGCAATTTACAAAGAGGATACCAATTTACTTCTGTACCACTGGTACCACTGTATTTCCTTTTTTTTTTTTTTTTTTTTTTTTTTTATGTAAAATTTTTCTGGATTTTTCTAAGTCACAAAGGACTTGTATTCATATGGATCACTATTCTCACTTTACTGTGAATGATTATGGTATAAATTTAATACGAATGATCCAAAATAATTGCTTCTGCTATTTGGGAAGAATGATTTATAGTGTGTTATTCCATGTTATTCCATTTAGTTACCGTTCAGTAAGTACTTGTCTTTAGTAATTTCCTAAGGACTTTTCAGATGTAGAGTTAAGGCACGTGCAGTTGGCAGACACATGGACATAATATTCTATAATGGCTCTGAAGGAACCATTAGAGCTGATCATGTCAATAATCCACAAATTAAAGTGTCCCCAAATAGACCTGAATATAATAGGTTGTAACGGTCGTGGTGCCAATGATGTGCAAATTATGCATGTCTGTAGGGTCCATATAACTCTGAACAAAATACAATCACAATAAAAAATGTTTTCTCTTTTTGATGCCATTGTACAAAAAATAAATTAAACTAATTAAATCAATGAACTTAAAGAAACTCATAACATGAATTAATCGACAGTGGGGAAACTGAAAGAGCAGAGTTCTCAACCCTTTCACATAAGTGAATCAACAATACAACTTCTTGGGGTCACTGAAAGATACCTCTGAAAAGAATCACAACAAAGTAGCCCCATGCTGCTAGAAGTGCAGAAAGCTCAAAAAGATCTTTAAAAATGTTTCAGTGGACAAAGCGTTGTAACAAAGGAACAGTTCCAGAAAATCATTACCAACATTTCAGCAAAGATAGCAGATTTTGTTTACAGAAGGAAGACATTTGAGAATTGTCCATTAAGATACTTGTGTTGAAGTAAGGTTTAGTAGAAGAAAATGAATTGCTTTTTGAAACATATGTCCGTTGTCTTTAGTGTCAGCCACACTCACAATGACCAGCAGAATGCCACTTGATACAGTCAAGTTATTTACCTTCACAGAGCTTCATTTTGCAAAACTGAAATACCTCTTTAGCAAAAGGGTGAAAGACCTGAGGACTGATAGAGTTTGTACGGAATACTTTGAGCAGACTAGACCATGATAGGCTCCTACCTGTGAGTTTGATCATGGCACTGCCCTGCTTTTGGAGACTCGAGCTGGTTTTTTTCCTGGGACATTGCCAACTTTTCAGCTGCAGCAATTGGACAACCAGAAAGGCTGTTTAAAAACAAGGTGAAGGAAAGAAACAAAAAGAAAGAAATCTTAAAATGAAATTTTAAGTAATAGAAATGTGCTATGGAAACCAATGGCTTCAAACTTCTCTGGGACCCTATGGCAATAGGAGCTGCCCTTTAAAGTCAGATTCATTTGTTTTTCATCCCTTAGTGCAAAACTGTGAAATCTGCATATTAGAGAAGGTATAAATGGAAACTGAATCATGTAGGAATTTTCCAGCATTGAGCTTTAATGTTTTGTGGCTGGCAAGTCACAACAAGATTTTTATTTTTTTATTTTTATTTTTTTAAATGAGCTATTTCTTGGGTATAAACCTCCTAATGATTAGAAAGTTAGAAAGTGGATCTGTGGAAAAAAATAGCTGTATGTATGGCTTTTACCAAAGTGAACATTTTACTATTTCTGGCTGGACGTTTTTTGTTCGTTTGTTTTTGTTTTTTGTTTGTTTTTTCTTCTTTTATCTTTCTTTCTTTCTCTATTTGCTCTAATTAAACAATGCTTTCTTACCCTATTCATGTTTCAGTTATGATACACGTGATGTGCTGCTAAGAAAACCAAGGATTTAAAACAGCTAAACACTGAAAAAAATATTTAATGGTTCTTTATATATTACATTAGACAATCTAGTGATCACTCTAATTAAGACTTCATGCTATCTTTTTACATCAGAGATAGTGACATAGTATGTTAATCCTTGAGTTTGGTGCCCTTTTACCATAGCCAATTAACCAAAATCAATCATGCAAAAAAAAAAATCCCACAAAAATTCAATTCAGCCAAGATTTTTTTTGACTTTTTTTGCGACAAGTTTGATCATTAGATGGACAATATATTCTTCCAGAGGAATGGCGCTCTATAAGAACTACAGTGGCATATTTTGGCTTGCTGCCTGCCAGGAGACATCAGTGCTCATAGGAGCCATGCTGCCAACAGTGGCTTCAGCTCTCTGCCTCACCTGCAGCCCAGCTGTGATTCCCCAGCTGCCTGTCTGGAAGGCTTTCCTTAGTTTTACTTTCTCCATGCAGGCAGAAAGTTAAACAGAGAAGGGTGTTCCAAGCAGGAAGATGACATTCCTGAAACTAATTAATGGAGTTCGCTTTTACAGAGATTCTAAAGTTTTGCCTGTAAAATTTCATGTTTTGCTGAAGCAGAACATAGTTAATTCCTGCCAAGGACTACTATGTATATAGTACAAAACAACAAGGCTTTTTTTTTTTTTTTTTTTCCTGGGGGATTTCTAGCTGTAGCATTTATAATATATTTGTTCATTCCAACTTTTTTTTATATGATGGTGTTTCATCATTAGTGCTACAGTGATACCACATTTTGAAAACTCATCTGTGAGAAAGACTAGTGAAATCAACTATCTACAGTGCTGAAGCCATTTTTATATAATTAAATTAAAAACAATTGTTATAAATAATACAGACTAATCTTGCTGTTCATAGGCATTTTGCAGTAGAGTAAATAGCACCCAATTCCAAGGCATGACCACCAGTTTATTCATTAGTACACGTCAGATTTTAAGCAGGCAGCAAATGTTCTGAACTACCTTCTGTGTGTGTTGCGATTGCTGTTGACGTGTCCTCTTCCAGTGCATCCTGGAGTGGGGCACTTTAAAACATTTTCATGCATGGCAAGAACTAAGGAAGAAAAACAATTGGTAACATACATAACTGAATAATATAAATGTTAAAGAATAAGAATATTTCTTTTTTAGACTCAGAAGATTCTCAATTCTGTCATATTGTGACCTCAAAAGAAGAGAAGCAGCAATGAAGCCAGACCAGTGTCTCCGACACAGACCATTTGACTGCTGCTTAGTTGTAGTGTGTCTATCAACACACAGAACGTTTTTTTCTAGGGACTTCAGAAGGACAAAGGTAGAATTTAGCAGGGATGTTAAATCATGAAGCCTGTAGCTCTCTGGTTCACACCACTAACACACACAGTAAATGAAAAAGTGAGGCTATAGAGAACTCCTAAGAACCACAGTTGGCATACTTGTAGCTGAATCCCTCTCTGGCTCAGGAAGGCTTTCCATACCTTCCACCATGTAAAATGATCTGTTCTGAGTATGTCCTTTTGAATCCTGATATCTTCTGATTATCTGCTCTGTTCTGAATCTACTTTTGATCAATTGGTCATCCCCAAGCAGCAATTTACACTCTCAACAGGGATTACAACCTGTTGCATGCACATTTCACACAGAATCACAGAATCACCCGGGTTGGAAGGGACCCCAAGGATCATGTAGTTCCAACCCCCCTGCCTAGCAGGGCCACCAAACATACACATTCAGATCAGGTTGCCCAGGACCCCGTCCAACCTGGCCTTAAACACATCCAAGGACGGGGCATCCACAACCTCCCTGGGCAGCCCGTTCCAGGGCCTAACCACTCTCCTAGTAAAGAACTTCCCCCTAACATCCAACCTAAATCTTCCCTCCTTCAACTTGGATCCATTTCCCCTAGTCCTGCTGTTGTCAGCCCTTTTGAAGAGTTTACTCCCCTCCTGGGTGTAGGTTCCCTTCAGGTATTGATAGGCTGCAATGAGGCCACCCCGCAGCCTTCTCTTCTCCAGGCTGAACAAGCCCAACTCCCTCAGCCTGTCCTGATAGGGGAGGTGCTCCAGCCCCCTGATCATTTTAGTTGCCCTCCTCTGGACCCTTTCCAAAATCTCTATGTCTTTCTTGTACTGAGGGCTCCACACCTGGACACAGTACTCCAGATGGGGCCTCACAAGAGCCAAGTAGAGAGGGACAATCACCTCTCTGTGCCTGCTGACCACCCCTCTCCTGATGGAGCCCAGGATCCCATTTGCCTTTCGAGCTGCCAGAGCGCACTGCTGGCTCATGTTCAGTCTCTCGTCCATCAGGACCCCCATTTCTTATGTGCTGTGATGTCTACCATCTTTACTAAGAGCAAGACATAAGTCTGTGTCAAACAGGAGGCATCTTTATATATCTTTTCTCATATCTTCATTATGCCTTTAGAAGTACAGTGCATTCAGTCAAATGATTTGTTCTATCAGGTATCCTTTTAATTTACTGTCTTGCATGCTGCTGCAGAAAGCAATCTTACTATCTAGGATGTTTAAACAAATTTTCACATTATATTTTGTGTTATTATGCAACACTTCATTGCATCTCATTGCAGGATTACATACATACACACATACCAGTGTAACAAGATCAGTAAAATTAGAAATAAAGAGAGAAATTCAGGCTAGACTAGCCACACAAAGATTAGCATGATACAGCCTTAGGAGAGGGACTTGCTGTGGACCACTACTGGGATGCATGGATGGAAGTAATCTCATTGAGCTCAGTGGAAGGAAGGGTGCTGGAAACATCTCTGGAAAGTCATGCCCTGGACTCTAAGTTAGTATCAGTGTGAAAACAGCAGCCATGGTGAGTGGTTACAGGAAATGAAATCAAGTTAAAGCTCTGAAGTGGACAGGTAATCTCTGTGCTGTATGCCTTTTGGAAAGGCATGGACAAGCAAGATTCTCAAGATTCATTGCTACTGTATGCAAGTAGGAATGACCAAGAGCTGGATAGCAGCTCCCAGACCTTTTCTGCAATCTCACACAGAAAAAGTGGGTTTCCTTTCCAGCAAGAACACATGCTACCGACAGTAGTAGTCCAGATCCAGTTACTCTGGACTTCAGGGCGATGATACTCACTTTCTAGTGGCACTCTAACTTTGTGAGGACAGCCTGAGAGACTGCGGTGGTGGGGGTACAGCCCAGTCACATGCCCTGTGCCATCACATCCTGGGATGGGACATTTGGTTTCTCTCTTTTCAGGCCTGGGTGAGTCTGCAAAAAAAGTCAGATAAGGATTTTGATTGGTTTTTGACTATCTGCACTCAGCTGAGTGCAGGATGATAAAATCTCTCTTGTACTTCAGACACAGTTTCTACACAAAGTTTTATCACAGGTTTAAGTAGTTCCAGCATCTCTTTATGTTATTACACACTATATCCTTAAAGCAGAGGCTCCTCACTCCTGGTAAGTCATTTATTTGGTAAACTATATAGCTTTAGGATTGCAGTGTCATTTATTCCATTCAGAGCTTCAAATAGGACAGAAGCCACAATCCAGTAAGCCAGAGAACTGGCAGCATCAGCCAACTGCAAGATCTATAAAGGAATAAATAAATTAAAAAACAAAAACAAAAAGCACCAAACAGAAACAATCTTTTACTCTGCTAATGTCAGACTGCAGGAAGCTGGGACAACCAAATAAAAGATGAGGTGTGAAACAAACAAACAAAAACAAAAAAGCATTTCAACCAGAAGCCATTCCTTAAATATCGCAGATCTCTAGGCTGTAGGTTCTTTGTTAGGAAACTGAATATGTGCCACTTTACATTCGAGAGGCAAGGCAAGCAGCTCCCTCTGGTACACATGGCAATGCTGCTTTGTGGAATAGCCCACAATGACAGTGAAAGCATGGAGCAGCTGATACCCTTTCAAAGAGGAGGTCTCAGCTCAGCCCCAGAGCTACCACTCTGCAATAGCCACAGTGCAATCCCAATTTTTGTTTCAAGCACCTAGAACTGTGCAAGAAGCTCTGGTCAAAAAGCCTTTATTTGATTTCCAATGCAGGATCAGAAGTCTGGGCGAGAAAGGAATGTATTCTGGTCCAGAAAATCTCTTGTGAGAAATCTGCAGGAAGTGGCCGCATAAATTGCTGAGGATGGTTTTAGCTCAATCTGTGATTGGCTGCCAACAGCATTCAGCACTGGGGGAGAAAACAGCTGCAGCCAGCACAGGGAGCAGCCTTCTTCAAGCTGATTTTGTTGGACCATGAGGTAGGATGTGCTCAGCGGCAGGATTGCGAGACAGCTGAGGGTTAAACTTCCTGGCAAGACTTTAGGTAAAAGACAAAAAATTAAAAACTGGGGAGAAAAGTAAATCGAATGAGCATCAACAGGAGACCACATGCTTTTTAGAATAACTGCAAATGGAAAAAACTGCAGTAGCGGACAGAGAATAAAGAGAGACCCTAAAATATGATTTAATTTTTTCCTTCAGTAATTGGAAAGGTTTATCATTAAAAAGATGGAAAAATGTAAATGTAAGACATGTTCTTCTGATGTGGCATCCAAGAAAGAAAATTAAGAGCTGATGGATTTGATGGTGGATTTTCATCACTAAAAATAAAAACCAGTTATTTATGTGAAAAAAAAAAAAAAGAAAAAATCTGTGCCTGATGATATATTGACTAAAATCATGCAGTATTTATACAGCCTGAAGATGGTCTTATTTGTTCCTGTATGAACATAGCCCCTAAGTCCACCTGAAAACTACTAGTAATGACAATATGAGGTAAATCAGAAAGTGTAAAATTTTACCATGCTTACCAGCACTCCTCCTTTCTTTATGTTGCGAGAAACTCACATTGACTCCAATGTGAACCCAAGTGAACAAACTTGGTCTCGGGATAAAAAAAAAAAAAATGTACCTGCAGAATTTCTACATTTATCATAGTCATCTGAACAAATAAAGGTTAATGTAGTTTTGCAAGGAGGTAGACCAACACCTAGCACATACAGCTTATGACATGTTAATGGGAAGACAGAATGAGATGCATGACATGTATTTCCAGCCTGAAAATAATACAGAATACAGCATAGTTGCAAATAGTGAAAAAAATATGTTATCTTATACACTGAATGTTTTAGTTAACTAAATAACTATAATATCTGCAAATGCCACATCATCATCTACACGGACTCTAAAGTGCCACTCTGAAGAGTTACCCTAAAGTAACTCCAGAAACACAAAATCCATTTGTTTAACAAAAGCAGAAAATGCAGCTATGCTAGGGTGGCTTCACCATATTTGGAAGCCAAAAAGGAAAGATCAAAGGACAGACTAATGTAGAGTTACTTACTACAGCAGAAAATGTGCTTATAAAATGACATCTTTCAATGTTCTGTGATTACCATTAGTCAAGGATTTTCATGCCAGCCAACCCACTATACAAATCAAACCTGAATCTTTCAAATCTCCAATTCTAGAAGCCTGATTAGATATGGAATATGGAACAATGGTCCTGCAGTTTTGTAGGATGTCACACAGCACCAGAAACAATAAGGATTTTGGAACTTACTGGTAATTCCACTGATGGTGAATGAGGCAGAAGAGCACACTTGTGCTTTCCTGGCTCAAAAATGCTGGCTATAGTAAAATGTAATGTAGATACGTGAAGTAGGCAGAGCTCAGAAAGCACATGGCTTAGGAATTAGGTGATATGTTTGGAAGAAGCCAATTTTTCACTCTAACCTATCCTTAAGCACTGTTTTAACGCCTTCTTTTTGGCTGCTGAAATTCAGGAGGTATGTATTTATGCTCTTTGGAGGAGGAGGCAGAGGAGGAGGAAAAGGAGGAGAAGGAGTGTCAGTGCCAGCTACACAGCCCTTTTAGTAGCCATTACTGAACATTTCACATAGCAGTTTGGCAGGAAGCCAAGTACCCAGTGTTTAACCTGGTCAGATGTAAGGCACTAGAGTGAAGGTACATAATTAGCAAAATTACCAGCTAAATTCCAGATTCTTTACTGTTTCTATAAAACCTAGCTCAGAGTTCTCTATCAGTCACAGGATAAATACTTAAGCCAGCAAGAACAGCCAAGAATACTTCCTTACGTTTGTTGCTAAATAGCTGTCTCCCACCAACGTCAATAACTTTGGTTTGTCTTCTCTCCCCCGCTAGATGCTCCAGGAGAAACCTATCGAGTTCCTTGTAGGTGCTGTGAAACACATGCCCTTGCTCTGCCTGCAGAGCTATTGCTTCTTCTAGCAAACTCAAGTTCCCTTTTGCTTTGTCCAGTTCAACTGACATTTCTGTGGTTTCTGACAGGCACTCGTTGTCATCTTCTTCACTTTCAGGGAACACATTCTGCATTCTCTTCTCAAAAGAATCTGGGTGAGACTCCTGGGGTGCTCTTAGCTCTGCTTCTGAATCACAAAGTGTTTCACAAGGCTCAAATTCTACCTCCTCCTTCTTAATTTCAGGGACTTCCAAGATGCTAGGTTGATTACACTCTGCAATATATTTCTGAGTTACATGGGGCTTTTCACTAGTTTCTTCTGAAAAATTTGAGGAGCTGTCCCACTCGTTTTCCATCATTTCAGAGTTGCTTTCGTTTTCCTCAGATGAACAATATTTTGGGTCAGAAATAACAGTCTTTTCTTTTCTTTCAGCTGAGTCAATCATGTAACATTCATCAGTGTCATCACTTTCTGTTTTTAAGGATTGAATGCCACTGTCATTTAGATTTTCTGCCACTGCTTGACTGGGTGCATCTTTTGCAATTTTTCCACTGTTCATCAAAGATTTGGCCATGGCATCTTGGTAACTGGCGTAGTTATCTTTTCTTTGACTGGAATTTTCTTGCCCACCTGAATGAAGGGTTTCCTCACATGGTTTTGCAATCTTTTCCTCTGCATAAGAAAATGGCAAGAGAAAAACATGTAAGAAAAGCTTTTTATATCATTTAGAAGAGATATGAAGATATTAAAAATTTTCATTACTTTACTCAAAAGTACCCTTAAATTATTTAATTCACCAGTGCTGTATTTGAAATGACTACTTGTAGCACCAGGACAAGCCCTTCTAAAATTGTACCTGCCTTATATTATTGTTTCATTATTGCTATTTTTTGCTGTTGGTAAAGAAATATACTGTCTTACAACATACACCTTCACATATATTTGCACAAGTATAATGCACTACAGATATGCACATAAATACTATATAAGCAGAATCTATATCATATACACAGAAACATATACAAACACACACACTTAAAAATTCTTCTAAAATCCATTTTCATTTTCCTTTCATCTAAGATTCCTAAATATTTTCTCAAAATAGACCCTAATTACTTTTTGAGCACCATGAAAGACCTTGAAGGAAAAAAACATCCGCACTTCACTAAGGGCAAGCTCCTGGTCACCATTACAATTGCCACATTAAGTGATAGATCAGGTCATGCAGGCAAACAGAAATGGTTGTTATGTACAGACTCATAAAGGGCTTGTTAAAGACACCACTGAAGTGCATCCTGTCTTTATAAACATCTTTCTTCAGAAGAAAAGCAGCAGGCAGATGGTAACAGAGGCTGCATGTAGGAGAGGTGGACGGTGTGGAAGACAATATGCCTTTTGTATCTCATTTAATTTTTTTATAAACATTTCCTCTGACAAGGACACTCAAAAATACATCTCCATCATCTTCCTTTCTGGTAATTATCTCTCTAAAATCAACACTGGTTTGCCAGGATCAAGTAAATATTGCCATAGTAACTAAAAGCATTTTTGGATGAAGGGAAGAATTTAGTCACAACACTAGCCCCTTCAATAATGCTGATTATAGGGTACATTCTTTTGTTGGGATCTATTCAACATAAACTGAAAAATTTAACATTTTACTTCCTAGAAAGGAAGATGAATAAACAAGCACAGACTATTTCCCAAGATGTGTCTGCTCTCTCCTGAATCAGAAGAACTCCAGGTTTAAATAATAAATTAGGTATAGTCTAAAATGCAAATGAAGTTTCTCTCCATAACACAGTGAGCTATTAAGAGAAAGTGTAAAGGGTTATGATAATTTTAAAGTATTATGAACTACAGAAAACAAATAAAAAGCATTTTCAGTGAATATGTCCAATTCATTGAACTATTCTCTCAATCCACTTAACTACCCACATGTGTACAATAATGATTTATAGACATTATACCTAATTATGCATATTTGGGCTGTGTTAGAGTGCCTAACAAAAGCTCTAGAAAGCAACAATTACCTCTGTTGCTTAGCTACATAGTTTAAAATATTCCTATTAAGTGCAGATTATTGTGGAGGGGAAAAGGGGGACAAAAATGCACATGTGCACCACAATGCATTTCACTTTACTGCTGCCAAACTGTTAGCATTTTGGGTCATTTCCAGTTTACATAATTGTTTGGTTCAACTGTTTGTTATATGTTAAAAGAAAATATTGATTAATTCTTATTATTCTTCAGAAAATTGGGCTCATGCAGGGAGAGGTGGCCTTGTGCACTGTGTGTGTGAAGTTGTGTTTTAAAAAAATGTCTGTAATCCTTAGCGTAACTTTTTAGCAGCTGTTCCGGTACCCCACACATTGCAGTATTCTGAATAAAGAAGTCTGTTGTCTTCACATCTCAGCAAGTAAGAACGATCATATGGCTCTGTTCCAAACTTTAGTCAAATGCACTTTATTATTTGTTCTTCTGCCGTTTGGAAAATGAAACGTTAACATCAAAATGTCATTTACAAAAGTAAGAAGTTAGTTCTACCCACTATTCAGAAATAAAAATAAAAATAAGAAGGTTTGATAATAGCAGTAGATATTTTCAATTATTATTGTTCTAGATTAAAGATGTAAAGCAATACAAGGCATCGCAACTTAGGTGATGGCTTCTGAAACCATCATGATTGATACTGAAATGAGGAATTTTACAAATGCAATGTTAAAAAATGTGTTGTTTAACTGGTTTTAATGATTCAGATGTCTCAGCTTTGCTTTTCACTCTATAGACTGAATTTCATTTTAAAATAATCAGAACTCAGCTTAGTTTGCAGTGGCCTCAGTGTATGAACTGAAGCATTAACAGGTGAAGCAACAAGAGTGAAAAGTTCACAATAAAATCAGCAATATTGCTCTAAGAAATTAAAAGTAAATATCCAATCAATCTTATGTTCTAGCTGAAGTTTTTTCATAGATACTTTAACTAATAAGGTTAATTCAAAAGATATAGATTGCATTATCAATGCCAAAAACAATTGCAAGAAGTGTAATAAGAATCAAGTTACCCTTTTTGAAATCTGTTTCTCATAACTGAATGACTGGGTGCAAATAAGGTTCTACTAATTTACGTCAATGGTCTGGCTCAACACTAGCCCTTTTTTTTGGAGAAAAAAAAAAAAAGAAGTTAAATAAGTTATGTTCATCTGAATATGGCACGTTCTACCTATTTAATCATCAAAATATTTTCCCTTCAGCGAGTTCAGAAACAAGACAGAGTTCTGCACTGATTTAAGCAGAACAAGGATTTGACTAGTCTGACAGTTGTCTTCTGTTTGTATGTATATGTAGCTGTCATATGTAGAATATGTGGAAGAGTTATTTACCTCTTCAAAAATTCTATTTAGAGTGAATAAAGATCTAAATTCTTAATCTCATTTCTCTGCTTCCTTCCAAAATAATTTAAAAGTTTCTACAGGAAACTTAGTAATGGGAGAGGAAAGTAAATTACCTTTAAACATCTGTAGTAACAAACAACCAAGCAGAATACAAGTTCATTCTGTATTCTGTTTTCATAGTAGCTGTGATTACTAATTTCCCAGTGCCAGATCCCTTTCTTTTTATCTTGATGGTTGCCATCTAATGTGTACACTCTTCCCTTTAAAACAATGCAGCATATACTCCACTGATTTCTCACTTCCCTGATTATCAACTTGTGCAGTATTATTTAAACAGATATGCAACAGTCAATTTAGATTGATGTTAATTGTTCATCTTGAAAATATATATATATATAAATATATTAGAAAGAAACAAAGAAAAACTATAGCTATATATTTCTGTATCCCCACGCTCTTCTATATTTTGCAGCAGACAAATTGCAGAAGTTTCAATAAACTGTCAGACATGTCTGAATTAGAAGAGTTTAAATAACAAGTATAAAAGTGCTGACTCTAATAATTGTGTTAATCAGAACACACGTAGCCGTCACACGCATGAAATTGCTTTGCTAAATGCTAAAGTCAACAACATTTTGCTAAGCATTTTTTTTTCCCCTAAGAGCTCTATATATTCTAATGAAAATCTGCTCTTCATAAATGTGTTTTTATCTGTGGTGGGCTTAACCTTGTTCTTTGACAGACCTAGTGGAGAAGCAGATGCTGCTCCATATCTGACCTGCTGTAGTAGTTGTCTCTCTGTGTGACCTACAAAGCATTTACTAGACCCCAGGAGGAGTTTGTACAAAATAATTGAATGGTTGAAGCTAGATAGAAATGCACTATTCCAACTCCATTACAAGCCAAAAGCGTTCTGCATCCTTTTTGAAAACAGTGTTTCATAGCTCCCCTTCTGTGGAATTCAGGTTTGAGTGGAGCCTTATTACATGATTACCTGGAATTGAATTGCTATCGAGGACACCAATATTCTCCTGTAAATCTGTCCTGTCTTCATTTTCCTCTTTGCATTCCAGGCTGGGACTGTAGTGGCGAGGCTTCATTAGCAGAGACTTCCTTTTGTTGACAGGAACACCTGAAATCTGTTCTTCAGCTTTTCTCTTAGCCATGGAGCATTTGTAGGCACTGCAATGATTAATGGGTAATGACAGGGGAAAAAAAGTGAGAGAAGTGAGGGATAAACTGGTTAAAAAACTACAATCATCATTTCATGTATACGGGAGAGGACTGACACAATATCAATTCACCTGCAACGGCAACAAGTTGTGTTTAGCGGAGAACATAAGCTAAAATTAAATTTCCAAGTTTTCAGGATCCTGACAAATGTACTATTTTTTTTGAGTGCTGCCAAAATCTCTTCGGGGGAAGGGGAGTGAAGAGGAAGACAAAACTAAAAGACCGATAACTCAACATGCTTGATCTTAAGTAATCATATGTTAATCCAAGCTCTGCTGTAGAATAAATACACCCAGGAAAGGATGAACAAAGATGTAGGCTGGGCTGATAATCCAGAAAAAACAACTAATGGGAAAAATATACCACCAGTTATATTACAATATACTTTAGCCCCACTGTCTTTATACTAGTAGTACATTTACTTGTGTACTTTGTGTTGTTTCCCACCATCCTTAAATTACAAAACCTACAGTCAGCAGTCCCTCTTTGTTCATACCAGTGTTGACCACAGAGGTCTTATTCATTCATTTTTTGATAACTGGTTGACATTCAAGTTTAAGATAAGCATGTTATTTTGTGACTCAATGTTCAATTTTATTATCTTTGATATTAACTAAAAATGTTCACACAGAATTCGGGTGGAAAAGTATAATAAATTTTATACTTTTAATGTCTAATTTTGTTTTTGGATTTGTATATCAGATGCAGTCATCAGACCCCATTCAGACTGGGCAATGCTTCCTTCTTAAATACAGTTCTCCATATCTTCCTGTATTAAAAGAATTGCAGCAGTGTCTTGGAGTGCGCCAACACGCCAATTTCTTGTTATATCCAAGTCTGTAGATTGTGTCTTCTTAGGTATATTTGTTGCTGCATTGAGCATCATTTAGAACAAACTTCCTTGTCATCTCTATAGGTAGAAACATGGCAAACCTGTTTATTATAAAGCCATGTTGGGGAAAAAAGGAGATTTTGACCCAAAAATGTATTGTGTATGACTAAAAAAATATAACACACATTAGATACAGTCATGTTTTTCATTCCTTCTTTTTGAGCCAGATCTTTCCACATACTCATATAAGCTGAAAAACTAACCACATATCTTGAATTCAATTTTAGTCATCACATGCAGTTCAACAACAGAACACACTTGAAAGACAGTGCATATTCAGAATATTTTTCAGTATTGGTCTTTCAATACTAGTTCTGAGCACTGGTTTCATTTCATTAACTTATGCCAGAAGTGCCTGGTTTAGGATCTTCTCAGGTCTTTGTAAAGACTCTGGAAAGAGGTTCCAACAGAGGGCTATTCATCCCACTAAGAACTAGTTATTTGGCATAAATTGTGCAAACCACCCCCTGGAAAAAGCCTTGTCTAAATACTTTACTTTTGCATGACTGACTGAGAAGAAATGACTGACTTTTAATGAGGAAGATTATTAGCAGATTTGATATATTTCTTTCATCTCCTACAAGACCTGCCAGTTAATTTGCTTCTAGAGAAATTTAATAAAGCTTTGTCCACCGTAAACCTGATCTGTATGGTGCGTAGGTGTTGTATTTGCAGTACCTCAATAAAGAGGCTCAAACCTTCAAATCACTCTTTAAAATAACTTTTTTCGATATTGTGCAGTTTTATTGTTCTCCTATACATAGTATTCTGAGAAATTTATGCTGTATGAATAATAGTATTTATATTATGTCTTTCAGCATTGACAAAAATAACTATATGAATCTGTGTAATCCACTCAATGATTTCTCAACCCTAGGCACCCCCAGGGTGCATTACAAATCTACAAGATGCTCTTAGGTGCTAGATTTTGCATTTGGCTCACTGACTTAGCTGCAAGATTTGCAAAAAAAAAAAAATATTTTTTTAAAAATCCATGTGTGCAGAGAACTCCTATTGGTTAAACATATTACAAGCTCTACAGCATAAATCAATCCTTCCAAGGTATCTTATGTGCACTAAATTGGCTCAGGTTCTGATTGTTTTGGATGAAAGCATATGACTAACTTCAGCATTTTGTTTAAAAAAATACCCATTTTTGGCTAAGCACCTTTTTGGCAACTCATCATTGCAAACATGAGGGACGTGGAAATACGATGATCTGCAGTTTGAGGGAATGTTACAATTCTACCATATGCACCTCAAACACAGCAGATATTCATGATCTTCTGAAAGCTAAAATGCCGTGGGCATTAGCATTACTGGACATTAACTACTATCTGAGGTTGAATATACTAAGACTTCTCAGTTATTTCCCTTTTTAAGACTAGAGGATAACATGAATACCATGTTAAAGGTCAGAATCACAACAGAGTTTAAGTGTCCCTTTAGAAAAGGTGGCCGTATAACAGACATCAGACATGGATGCAGTACAGATGAACATGCATAATTAGTTTCTAAAAAAGTACAATCAAATGTTTCTTAATGAATATTTGTGAATGACAGTACCATTCATGCTGGTTCGGGCAAAATGAATAAATGACAAATGTTTGAATACCCTTCACACACAATTGCTTTATTAACCAAAACCTTTGCTAAGTTTGCCTTTGAATCTCCTTCATTTATTTGTCAAGCTTCAAATTTATCTCCAGTAGCTACTGTAACAGTATTTGGGACAATATGCATTTTCAGTGTTTAATTCCCCTTTGACAAAGCTGCAGCTGTTTCTTACAGAAGTATAATTAATAGGTTTTTAGAACAGAAGATCCAATCAGTTCATCTAGTATACTGTCCTCTTTAACACAGGTCACAGAACTTCATATAACTCCTCAGCATTAATCCTGTAACTTGTCTGACTGTTGTGCATCTTCCAGTCAAGGTAAGGAAAAACATAATCAGAATGTAAGGTGATTACTGTATTCTTCCTCACTACTACAGTACTTTTCTAGGAACTTAATGTCAGCTGTCAATCTATTGGTGTTTCACCATGAAAAACAGCCAAACTCAAACACTTGCAGATCACAGACAAGATGAGCCCTAGAGTGCTGCTGCCACCTGCCAATGTAGTCCTGCTTTGAAAAACGAGCACAAGAATCCCACTTGACAGTAACTATTACAGTCTAGCAGGAGCAGCAGCAGCTTGTTTAAGGTTACTCATGGGCCCCCGCAGTTCCCTATGTGCTCTTTTGGATGGCAATGGAGCAAGTTTCTGAAGCAAAAGTAACTTAAAGATCTGTTTTGATCAAACTTTTTTTTTTTTTTTCAATTTCTCTCTCACTATTTACTTCAGTAAATCAAAAATTTCTTCACCACTGTCAGAACAAAAAGCCTACAGGTCTGCCTGGAAAACAATCAGTCATATTAGCAAGTTTCCTGTTATCTTGTTCTTATCATATCTGTCTCTGTACATGAACAGCCACTCACTCAGATTTCCTCTACAGTTCCTATAAATTAAAATAAGTGACTACATAAGACAGAATCATAGAATCAAGGTTGCAAAAGACCTATGAGATCACCCAGTCCAACCATCCACATATCACCAGTATTTCTCACTAAACCATGCCCCCCAACACCTCCATGGTTGATGACTCCACCACCTCCCTGGGCAGCCGATCCCAGTGCCCCTCTTTCAGACCACTATTTCAGAAAAATAGTATTTCCTAACATCCAGCCTGAATCTGCCCAGGTGCAGCTTGAGGCCATTCCCTCTAATCCTATCACTAGTTACACTAGAGAAGAGGCTGACCCCCAGCTTGCTACAACCTCCCTTCAAATAGTTATAGAGAGTGATAAGGTCTCCCTTGAGCCTCCTCTTCTCTATACTGAACAATCTCAGTTCCCTCAATCATGCCTCATAAGACTTGTGCTCCAGACCCCTTACCACCTTAGTTGCTCTTCTCTGGACACACTTCAGGGCGTCACATTCTTTCCTGCAGTGAGGGGCCCAAAATGAAACACAGTACTCGAGTTATGGCCTCACCAGTGAGGAGTACAGAGGGACAATTACTTCCCTGCCCCTGCTAGCAAAACTATTTCTGATGCAAGATTCAACTTTACTTAAAATGATTTCTGATACCATTCATTCTGATTACAGAAGGATAAAAAAATAATTGTTTTTTCTTTCCTAGGAAGTGCAAATTACTTTCCATAGACCAAGAAGAGGTTTTTGAACTCCAGAAGAACATACACTTGCTTTTGGTGGTGATTCTTCATACTTCAGTTTTAAATGGAATCTACTAGTTTGCAATAGGCAGTTTAAAGATCTACTACTTACCAGAATTTCCCTTTTCCTACATCACAATGCTTAGAAGTAAAAATGAGAATAAAACCAGGAAGACAACTTCACAAGTGGTAGCTTTTTCAATTACTTACACATGATTTGTTTATTACTTCATAATGGACACTGAATTTAACTAATTCACATAAAATAATATATTTGTGCATTTGTAATATCCATGGCATGTTTATGTTATATCTGTCTTTAAAAGTTTCCATTTCTCTCTTTTCCTTCTGTGCATTCACACATACACACACGCACGTTAGAACAGATTTGTCATACTGTAGTTTTTCAAATGGTAAACCTATAATTTAGCTTCTCTATTACTCATCTCATAAATTCAACGTCTAATAGTTTTGTTGCTATTTATCAATGGCTTGCTTGTTGTCATGGAACACTGATTCAGCTGTCAAGGTTATTTGGTAATCTGAGGCTCATAAACCAGGGGAAGTTCTTTTTGTTCTTGTGCTCAGAGTCAATGCACACTTCTTCCCCAAATTAAATGTACTAATATTTTTTGAATAATAAATAATTTTAGCACTTTTATAATGCAGAGTTTTTTTGTTATTTTTTTAGTCATTGGTTGAGCTAGGAAAAATAATCTTGTGTCAGCTACAGTATGATCCAGAAGGTTAATATCTAAGACATATTATCTACTTGCATGTATTGAGACAGACACTGGTAATATAGACATACAGTAGTGCATTGGTTTGTGTTCACACA